GGAAATAATAGAGGGATAAGGACTGGAGAGATATAAAGATTGAGGTGAAGCAGAATTTGGGGAAGTGAAGTTGTTGCCATGGGCTGCTGGAGTAGGAACAGGATTAGAGGCAGCTGGAGAAGGTAGTCAGCAAAAGCAAAAAAGAGACAGTGCAGAGGAAGCAAACAAGAGATGGAACAGGATGGAGTGGAGCAGATGTTTGAAAGTATGATGGTGCCATAAACTCTCTCAGTAAAGATGAGAGTGCAGTAATGTGACCAGGTTTAGGGTGTTTTAAAACTGAGGCACTCCCTGTCAGTAACACTTGAGAAGTCTCTCAGTACTTAACAGTGTTTATTTATTAATATCCAGCAGCAAGGATTTTTAATACTGTGGAAGGAAAACCTGTGGTCATGTATCACTCAACCAGAGGATCAACATAAGCATGAGGCATGTTTGAAACAAAACTGGAATTTTATTTAAACACACTTGATGAGGATTAAAGCTTAATGGTTACTTTCATAAGGCACACCACTTTGTTTCAGTCAGATCACTTTACCAAAGAAATTAAGAATTTTGCTTAAAACTCCAATTTAAACCTGTTCTGTTTAAGCTGTCTTCCTAGAATGGCTATTTGTACTACTAAGCCAGTAAAACACTTTCAACCCCTTCTAGGATCTTTTTGTTCCCCTCAGGGAGACGATATTGGTTGTTCTGCCTAGCAAACTACTAATCACCTAGCTAAACCCTGGCTAAGCCCAGTTCAAGCCCTATCTCACAGTTTGTCAGGTTCTATCTTTTAATTCAACTCCCTCTTGATTGGATGATAATGACTCAAATAGGGGATATATCTGATGTAAAGGCTATCCCAATGCTACATTATTATTTTTAATAAAGCCATATTTCCTCCTCCGTTGACTATTGTAACTAGTTATTTGACTAAGAGCTGACGGAATACGTATATATTTTTATTACTTATATACCACCCTAATACTATTAAGTACTTTCTTAAAATATACAGTAAATAAGTCCCTGCCAAAGCAGTTTAATATCTCCAACAAGGCTTTGTAAGGGACACATTAAAGGGGAATAGGTGGCAAGAAATATTAAACTAGCGCCATGCTCAAACTCAGGATAGTAGAAGTACCAGTTTGTGTTCAAAAATATAAATATATTGCCTTGAATGTAACTCAGAACAGTTTAGCTTTTCCAACGTACGTTTTATAGATGCCTTTGAAGTCCTTTTGCCGCAAGTGTGGCTTTTACCCCCATTAGGTAATTTAATAGGTAAGATCAACTTACCGGTACTCTTTTGCTGCACCCTGCCCCCATTATACACTGCCACCATTAAAGCAGTTTTGGGTCATTGGTCATTATGGTTACTGTATTTTTGTGAAATATTTTCCTTGTTCATTTCACTATCCAAAAATATCTGCTTCTTTAATTGCTACAGTTTTGTTACATCTTGTTATTGTTGTTGCTATTTGTTCATTTAATTAATCCACAGAGAGAGTTCTGAACAAATTGCACAATGGACTTTCTTTTTTTCTTTTCTTTTTTACAGGTGCAAGTGTGTAACAGAGTTGTTTAAGAGAATGGAAAATGAAGAATAAGGGGAATGCAAATATGCATAAGCCTCATTGTCATTTAACCCATTTGGAGTGGAGGACAGCATAAAAGGCTGATCTTTTCCTTACAGTTTTACATAGACGATGCTGCAAACTGAGCTTTTTCTTCTACTATAACCTTGGTAATAATGTGTTCAGTTAATCTGCAGTGTAGAGTCATCCCCTCGAAAAGTAATTCACTTCTTCTTCTTTTTTCTTTTTTAAAGGTGGAAAATAAATATGGTGCCGTAAAATTGTTGAGTAGAGGAATCTATCTGGACATTTCACAAAACATTTCATTATGCTGATAATTCCCAGAAGTGCTCTCGAGAGTGCTTTAAGCTGAGGATTACTGCACTGGATCTGATGGACTTTTTTTGTAGCCCCTTTAAAAGGCAGTGAACCGTTTTTCTATTTTATTTAAATAATGCCCCTTAAAATGGATTTTTAGAGGTATAATAACTCCTTAAGAGTCAGTTATGCTAAACAGTTTCTCTTGATAGAAATGTTGTAAAACTCGTTAACTGCACAATTTCAGATGCCGGCTTGGTGAACACTAACTGACATTTGAATGGTCGGAGTTTGTAAAATAAATTGAAATAGTTGTTGTATCACACAGCTAGCTGTGCACAAGCTGTAGGCCACGAGGGGCTTGAACCTGACAGAAAATTACTTCAAGATGAATGAAAAGTGCTTGTTTCTCTTTATTAGTTTTTGGAGAACAATGAAAATGTTGAATTGTTTACAGAAGGGCTGATTAAAAATGGTCAGTGAGGCCATGTCCCCACTGCTAACTGTTAGCCACCCCCCCAGCCTCCCCTCCTCTTCTCCCCACCATATGCATCTTCTTATACCCATAATAGTCACACATCTGTGTGTGAAATGTGCTCATTTTGACATTCCTCTGCTGCTGCGAGCTGCTGAGGCCATTGTTAGGTAAAGGGCTGTTGTCAAGCCTAACAAGCTGGTCATGCAATTTGCTGGACACCGCGGCAGAGAATAACCCACGATGAATTGCTTCAACCTCAAACAATGCTCAGTTCAATATTAGAATACAGAAGTATTCTTTGGCTTTGTGTCGTCCTGATCCTTGCAATATTTTGAAATATTCTATGCACACACACGCAAATCTTTTTTTCCCTCTCTCTCTCTGTCTCTCTTCAGAAATGCATACCTACTGCCCAGAAAGAATATCATGGTAACCAAGCCTTACATGGTTGTTATTTCTAACATATGTTTTTGAATGGTGAAAAGAGAAATTGATACAAAGAGTTAAAGAGCGAGAGACACTTTTGTAACTCAAAATTCATTTTTTTTGTATGTCTTCCACTCCAGGCACAGTGGGATGCTTCAAAGTGCTATCCAATATTCTGTCAAACTGTTTGGTCCAATTTCAGGGCAATTCAAGTCAAGACCCCTTTAGCACAGCTTTGCCTGTAATTTCTTTTACTAACACATATGGTATTGTTCAACGAATTATAAAAGTTTGGGAGTAATTAATATTCCCATGGGGTAAGAGAGCAGTGCAGTCCCTTTGAAGCTTCAAAAACATTTCTCATGATTCTTTAAAAGAGAGCGGGAGAGAGAGAGAGAGAGAGACGGAAATCACTTGTATTTACATGGTACTGTTTTTAAAAAAAGCCTCCCTCTCCTCCCCTCCCCTTCCCAATCCCTTCCCCCTTCCCTTAAACACACACACCAAGAGAAATCACCCATTAACATGCAGGAGTATGAATGCTATTTGTGGCATTCTGTCACTATACATTGCGTACCGCCCCAATGTGAAAGCAGGATTTTCTTTTTTCTATCTGCAGAACATGCATTCCAGGGCCTATTATGTGTATAAACAATAGCATATGTAATTACCTTTCCAGGGTGGCAATTACTCTTCAGATTCAATGGCTAGAGTTAAAGTAAAAAAAAAAAAAATCTGTTCCCATTGCTCACAAAGCTGCCAACCTTTATGGATCAAATCTTGGTCATCGGTAGCACAGGACAAACCCTATCAATCCGGTTTTTAAAACATCCATGGGGTAGGGAAGAGGGTGGTCCACATTGCTTTGGGGACTTTGTTTCAAATGTGTTCATTTCAAGCCTTGCCTACCCATCAATTGCTTTATACAATTCTCCTCATGGAAGGGGGGGGGACACAGAGAGAGACACACACACAACTTTTTGCTAGGGAGGATTTCCTCAGCAATTCTGTAGGTATGAAAATTCCATGCCTGTCATGTCAACGTTGGTGGCTGGTGTAAAATGCTGACTTGCTTGACTTCCTTCAAGTTATGATGAGTTTTCTGGAGTAGGGGAAAGGAAATTGCATTTCTCCTCCACCTTTCCCTGCCTCCACCAGCCCCCCTCCCCCTCCAGCCGCCCAATATTATTCCATATGGCCTGCGAAGCTAAAATACTGAAGCACTTCAGGCTTAGATTTTCCTCAATTAATCATCACATAATCAACTAAACCTTTAATGACAGTTTAAAATGCCACTAATCTGCAAATAATAATAATAATCCAGGACTCAGGACATTTGAAGAAAGTTGTATAACTGTGAAAGTTTATACATTTCTACAGAAGTAAGTCCCATTGAGTTTGATGCTCCCATGAAGGTGAATATTGCAGAAATGGTGAACTTGTGGTCTTCCAGATATTGCTGGGCTCAGGCTCACATCAGCCCCAGCCAGCATGGCCAATGGTCGGGGTGATGGCAATTGTAGTCCAACAACTTATGGAGGGCCACAGGTTCCACAGCCCTGGAGTAGAGAACTGCATCCTAACACTGCAATTCTGTACCCACTTAAGAACATAAGAGCTTTTGAATCAGGCTAATGGCCTACCTAGTCCAGCATTGGGTTCTCGCAGTAGCCAAACAGATGCCTGTGGGAAACCTGTTAGGAGGACCTGAGCACAAGACCACTCCGCCTTACTGCAGTGTCCAGCAACAGGTATTCAGATGCATTGCTGCCTCCAACCATGAAGGCAGATAATGGTCATCATGTCTAACAGCCATTGATAGCCTCATCCTCCATCAATCTATCCAGTCCTCTTTTGAAATCATCCAAGTTGATGGCCATCCCTATCTCTTGTGGGACAGAGTTCCATTGTTTAACTATGAACTGCATTAAGAAGCCCTTTCCTTTACTTGCCTGAATTTTCCAACATTCAGCTTCATTACTACTTACATGGTAGTAAACCCTGCTGCATTCAGTAGGATGTGTGCCTGAATTCACATGCAATTGCTGAAATAAGCTGCCTCCCTTTGCCAAATTTGAAGGTCTTAAAGAACATTTTTGCTTCTGGTTGTCATCCAAAGCTAGCAGATCATTTGAAATTGTACTTGATCTTCCTTCAGGAACCTCACAAGAGCACCTTCTCTCAGAGTTTGGAACAATCACTTAAAAGCCAGACAGTTAATTGATTAAAATAATTTATTAAGTTGGCAGCCCCAACTCCCATTAATTTATGGGAATGGGGCTTAAATCCAGTGCTGAACATTTAATAAAATCAAACATAAGAATTTTCAAATGAACATGTAATACATATGTTTAATTTAATAGGATTACAGTTTCTGTGGCTTCAGATACAGGGGGAATGAAAAACATGTCTGGTACTTTTAATTCCTCTACATCTAACAACACTCTCTATGAGGGACTGGCATTGAAAACCACTCAGAAACTTTAAATGGTGCAGAACCCTGTCATTAAACCCTGAATGAGGCAATGTGCTGGGATCTTGTGAACCCCTTACCTGTCATTTCCACTCTTGGGTTGGCTGTGGGGCCAGCCTTGAACAGCATCTGGAAGCTACAACTGATACTGGATGCCATGGCCAGATTATTCATATTGTTTACTGGATCTGATGACTGTGAACATATCATGACAAGGTTTTTAAAACTTTTTACTAGCACCTAGCTTTTTTCCAAAGTGCTAGCTGAGGACCACCATCTCCGGCAGAAACCTGTCCATAGATTAAGATAATATTCAGAGATCCTTCTCCAGATTTCACTTCCTCAGCATGCTTGCCTGGCACTTGGGTTGTATCCAGATGAGCTGTTTAGTGAGAACTCATCTTGATCAACTGTTTGCTGAGCATTCATTTGTATTTGAGCCGGGGGATGGGGTGGCACATGTTATATGGCTTCACATCAAGCCAGTTCTATTGTATGCTTTCCAATGCATTTCCCATCACTCTCCTTACCACAAAAAGTCCCTCCAAAATTGGAAGCTGATTATGGAAGCTCAAGTGTGCCAAATCCACTTTAACTGCTCTACCTGGTCTGCATCTGAATCTCACCTGCGAAACAGCAACAACAGTTTATTATGGAAAAGGTTGATGTATCAATAAAGATCTCACCTTGAGCTTTTTGGAGGAACAGTGAGATTAAAATGTAATATACTGTATAACCATAATAATTTGGTAGCCTGTCCAAAGTACCTTTCACTCTGCCGTTTGGACAGCAGAGTAGCATACAACTGAGATGATGGAAGACAACCCAGGTAAAGGAAGATACGTACCTCTTTCCTTTGAAACTTTCATGCAGATTATGTGGGAAACCAGCCACATGGACTACATAGTCCACACTTATTAGCTATGTAGATGAGTAAAGGCCAGTATCAGACCCTGTGCTTCGAAACAACAGGAAACAGCTGGTGTGGAGTTCTTTCAAGTCTACTGCCAGGATGAATCCAAAAATCTTGTCCCAAATACTTTTTGGCTCTTAAAAAAACATTTCCTAGTTATTATGGAACTTTGATGCCTTTAGCATAGAAGGAGGTGTGATCTGACCGCTGCAAATGTTTCTGTTTTTCACTTGAGGGTGTTCTTCCTGCCTCCAGAGAAACAGCCTCCGTGAAAGTTTCCACAAGGCTCACAGTTCTTCTGTTGGAAAGCAACCATCAGGCATTTATTTCCTGTGGCATGAGTGCCTGCACCCCACCTCCTCCTCAAGTCATTCCGTCCAGGCGACTCAGATTATGAGTTTTGACAAACCCCATAAACATGTCATTATGGGGAAGATGGGTTGTAGTCATTGCTCAGTAGTCTTTATTATTTACTACACAATGAATAGACTAGCACAAGGAAAGACTATGAGAAGATGAAAGTAAGGTTAGTTAAACATTGAATTAACGGCTCTGTGCTTTATAAGATTGATAGCATCTAAGCTTGAGTTCAAAAGAACTGTGTAAATGTCGTTCATTTACAGGTGCTGTTTGGTTGTTAGGACTGTTTTATTGTTCATAATACTGCTGTCCGTAAAGATATGAGCGTTCCACACTGAAGTTAAAAAAAATAGATTTTACATAAGTCACAAAGTGACTTCAGGAATTGACCTCTGTAAATATTCCTGTTTATCCTCACCTATGGCTCATATACACATTATAGCTTTGCACAGAATTTGAGCAGTCAACATGAGGGTGCATGAACTCCACCATGCACTTAATTAGAATTCCATTCACTTTATGGAAAAATCAAAGGGCAATGACAGAGCATCGTTCTGCTACTTGTGTGTGCCTTCTGAGTTCATGCAGCATTCATCTTGCTCTGGGGACTTTGATGATATAGTTATATGAAAAAATCAAATATATATATCTGTATATGAAGGGTGGAAAACCTATGGTCCTTCAGTTGTTGTTGGACTACAGCTTCCATCATGCCTGACAGTTGGTTATGCTGGCTATGGCTGAGAGAAGATGGAGCCCAGCAACACCTAGAAGACTACAGGATCTAATGGCAGTTCATTGGCTTTGGCTGCAGTTGTTCTTGGTGGCAAGCTAAAGATATAACCAACTCTGCCTCTGTCCTTTAGCTTTTCAACAAGTGATACTCATACCACTTGAAACAAGGGAGGGAAGACTGTTTGCCATCAAGGCACAGCTGCTTCCACCTGCCATGTACCACACTCTTCCACCTAGGAGCCTTTATAAGGGAACAGCTGCCAAATGAACTGTGAGGGGGTTCTGGACTCTTGAGTCTAGGTGTAATGGTTGCAGGAGAGTTGCTAGCTATGTACTTCCTAGCATTAGCTATCAAGCTACATTTGGATCTTAATCGGCCTGTTGATATGCTTTATGCTCACTTAATCTTCTTTGATATATTCTACATAAACCATCATGAGCCTGTTGCCCTCCAGATGTTTTGGACTACAACTCCCATCAGCCCCAGCCATCATGGTAATGGTCAGGGACAATGGGAACTGTAGTCCAACAACATCTAGAATTGCATTCCTGCTCTTGAGGGAAGCAGAGAACAAGTCTTTGCTCTTTTCTATGTGACAGCCCCTCAAGTGAGATTTCGGGGTGCAGCGACCTCAGTCGTGTTTGGATCAGTAAGCATTTTCTTGACTATGATGTAGCAGATTAGAAAAGGTACTTAGACTCCAAGCCAGACTTTTGAATTATATCTGAGACTATAGCAGTAGAGAAATAGGAATGAAATGGAAAGAAGTGTGAAAATGGTGGCTGAACTGGAAACTGACCACAGGAGGGGAGCAGTTGTATCCTAAACATTAGGAGGTTTGGGGCACAACTGTTCCACCCCTGTGGTCCTAAATCGTTCAAGGAAAGACTCATCTAGATTGCACTACAGTAGCCAGATGCTAAGAATCATTTGTTTGGAAAAGCTCAATCATCCCTTCTATAATAAGCTTCTATATTAATGTCCCTCTTTCTATGATTCATCACAATGCCTTTCCTCTATATGCCACACCCCTAAGTAGCCAGAGGAACATCCTCTCCCTCCCCTGGGCATCCCCCATGCTGTGTCAAAATCTGTTCTGGGGCACTGGGGGGAAACCCAGAGCAAATTGGGGAGGTGCAGGGGGTGTGGCAGGAGGAGGGGAAGAGAAGGCTCAGTTAAATGAGCAGGGTTCATTCCACTTACGCAGTGACATAGCTGAATGCAACCCAAAGTGTAAGAATAGTTTAAAAATCTTCTTCATCCACGATACTCATTGGCTGGCCATAAACCATTCTAGATATCTCCACCTGATCTACTTTATAGGTTTGTTGTGAAGAGGAAATGGGGTGGGGGAAGGGCAGTGCCACTGAAACTGTCAGGCTCCTGGGAGAAAGAGGAGGATACATACAGAATAAATGAGACCCGCATGTCACTGGATCCACAGATTAACTCACCAAGGAATATTGCATGTGTAAAACTGCATTAGCCCCGGGCAGAAGAAGGTGCAATTCTGTGTAAATAGATATCCCTCAAAAGATAGATGGAAATGATATACTAACCAACAATATTAATTATAATAAATGTGTTGGTCAGTCAGTTGGTTAAGCTAACCCAATTCAACTGAACAAACAAATGGGCCTGAGCTGGCAGCCTTTTTCAAAGAGTATCTCCAGCCTCTTTTATCCTGCCTGGTCATTAGAGCTGCTGCTGGAGCTGTTTCACTAGACTTTTCAGGTTTACCTGCCAGCTTTTCTGGAGTTCGCGTCAAAGCTCCCACTTCCCTTCGGTTTCACTGCTGCTATTAAAGTTTGAGCTGCACTTTGCTAAGTGTGGAGGCTTGCACTGAGCGGATCCACTGCTGATTATCATGCAAATCAGACTCCTCTGCTGGCTCCAAAGAGGCTCCCAGCTTTGCTACCCCCATTGATCCTTTCATTGTCAGAGGGATAAGGCTAACCCATCTCTTCTGACACCAGAAGCTACAAAGATAGGTTCCCGTGACAGTGATTGGTAGGAGGAAATGAATCTTTCATGTACGGCAGAAATATGGTTTGATTTAAGAAAAGAAAATAACCATATGTAATTGGGCTTCTGTCACTGTAAATTTTAATGGTAATCGTAACACTGAGGTTTCTGGAACCTTAAATTACAGCTTTCAGTGGCTTCCCACTGAATCTCTCTATTATTCTTCATAACTACTTTCTCAAAGCATGTGCACCATGACATCGATATCACAATTCACGTCTAAATTTGAAATTGACAGCAGGGCTGGATGGTGTGCCCTTGCACTGAACATCAGAGGGACAAAAAGAGAGGATGTCATTTCCTAAGATGTAGCCACCTGTTTCTCAAAGTGCTGAGTGATGCAGTCCTGCAGCAAATGCTTCTGGGAGCCAGTGTGTGGGATGCTAGTTTCATCCAGACTCTGATCCCAGAGAGTGCCTGGCAATTTCAGGTAGCCCTGAAAAACCAGTTGCCACTGATGGGTGAGAGCCAATTATTTTACTGAAGTAATAGAGGTTCTCTTTTAAACAATTAATTATGGGATTGGCGGGTGCATGACAGGTACCCATCCCTTGAACTCCTGTTATGGCTTTGCACATGTACAACATTTGCAGCATTGCCACACTCTTAATCTTTTTACAGAAATGCATTTCTACTTTTTATGCCGGTGCAGAAACTTTGCAATGGAAACAAAGTTCCAAACAACACAGATTGAAATCTGTAGTAGGTGGAATGAGCTGATGGTGTGATATTAGAAATCCATGAACTAACCATTTTCTCTTTATTAAATCAGATTTTGCAGTATTTGCTGAAAGCAAGAAACACTGAATTATATTTAAATAATCATTCCATAAATACTGTGTGTTTTCACAGCAGTCACAAACTCTGGAATTTATGTGCTAATTACAGACCCCAAATCTTCTCTATCCAGATTTGCAATTAAAACTGAAATATTTTCCTATAATACAATTCCAGAGTTCGTAACAACATCAATGAGATGTACCAGTTATTATTTGCTTAGTACAGTCAAACATTTTATGTTTTCCAAAACCATTGTTTCACTTTTTCTGTCCTTGGGCCTGCTGTTTTTACAGCTGGGAGTGGTTAGGATTTAGTGGCGATGTAATTCTGAAGGGCAAAAAAAACAAGAATGAAATATTCTTACATGGCAATTCACATGTGGTAGAAATCAGTAGAAACCAATGATAACCAGAAGATGCACAGATTATTATTTTTTAAATCCTCACATAGCATTGACTTCTTAATATAATATTGCGAGCTGTTTTTAAAAAAATAAAATCCACATATTTTTAGAAGTATGGGCTGACAGTAAAGAAGAGCTAGAATGCAAATTTAGGGAGAATGTTGAATAATTCAGTAGCTTGTTATGTGATTAGATCTGATTGGTTCCCTACTAAGATATTGCCCATAAAAATGATTTCCCATGGTAGCATTGGTCTCAGGATAGGAAGAGGATGGGGGGTTTATGATGTCCATTAAATGGGAGAACAAGGCTTACTTGAGCTAATAATATCATGGTTGCACAGAGTGATTGATGGTCTTTAAAAAGGCCCAGATTGGTTTCATCTTTCTTCAGATTTTATCACTGACTTGTTCTTAGTCATGTGCAATCACTAAGGCCAAGAGAGGTAACAAGTGTTTGATGTATGATACTTGCGCCACTTTTGTCAGAACTGCATTTATTCTTACACTGTACTCCTATAGAGAGAGATTCCACAGAAGATGGAAACATGAATCTGGACACAGGTGGAGGTGGTCAACGTCCCCAAAAATTGATCAAACATTAACAACTTTTTTCTCCTTTCAGTGCAGCTGCTTTTAATATAAATTAAATGAACTAAGTGTATAAAGCCATCTATATGTATGTCTTTTCAGCCTACTTATGCCTCTTTGAAAGAGCTTATCAGATTCCCTTCATTCCTATCTTTTGCAATTTGCAAAGGAGCACCAAATTCCCTTTATGCAGTGGCGTAGCATGGGGGGTGCAGGGGGGGCCGGCCGCACCGGGCGCAACATCTGGGGTTAGGGCAAATCCACAGGTTAGGGGGCGCAAATCCACGGATTAGGGGGCGCAAATTACTTGCCTTGCCCCGGGTGCTGACAACCCACGCTACGCCAGTGCCTTTATGGTGTTGTTGTTGTTTTTAAAGTGTGAACTATAACATGGCAGAGGCATGTAGGCAAGCATGTTTATCAGCATCTCATATAGTACGCCTCCAGATGGATATCTTAATCTGTTATTAGAAACATTATTATCAGCATCGCATTCATGGTAGACGGTGTATGCATGAACCACAAAATGTTTGGTTGGGGGCTCTGATGGAAAGCGAGGGAGTGTGAGAAAGAGTCCTAAAAGGTTCACAAAATAGCTTTGTGCTATGTGAATAGCTTTCATTCTGAGATCCTTCAGTCATCCCTCTTTGTTCTACTGAGAAGACAAAGTGCCAAACCAATAGAATGTCAGATATCTATGACATGGTTTGACCCAGTTTCAGTCTGGCATCCTGGCATGTTCATGCACGTGTTATCGTAGACGCACATGCAACATTTGGTACTATACATACGTGCACATGGACAAAGTGTGTGTCCACATTAATTGGCACATAGGTCCCCTCCCTCGTGTTGATTTTATCCCATGTAGAGTTGAATGGCTTTCTGTTTTGACAATTTGAACACTGTCTCAAGATTGTTTAGCAAAATCAAGAGCAGTTCTTGGCAATTAATTTCTGCAGTCAATAGTATTCTCAAACTGGGCAACTCCCCTTGGAACTGGGAGCCACAACAGAAAAAGCCTGTGCAAGGGAAAGAGCAAGACAATTCATTAGACAATTCTGCAGCAGCTCAAAGTGGCGGGGGGATGTCAGCCCCTGCTCCTGTGCTTCAATACTAATGAGAGTCATTGCATATTCATAACCCTAAATACAGTCAGCTTCTTATAAAAACTTTTGTCATTGAGGCTTCACGGCAAGAGCAAAGCATTGCACTCTTCGTGTCCTGGCACTTCCGCCAAGAGAGTGCAAGAGCAAGATTGATTGTTTTGCAACGCAGCTTGACAGGGAACTAAGAGATACTGCCCCAAGGGTCCTGAAACTAAGCTTAGTTTGATTACAAGGCTCCAAGTAATCAAAGAAACAAAAGAGGGGGGGGAGTAGATTTTTTTTTTTTAAGATAAAGGAAGGCTCTAAAGATATAGCTTTCCTTATTGAGTGTTCAGAGTAATTATCTGCTAGCAGTTTAAAACAGTTCATATCAATTTTTATCACAGAGAAAGAAGAACAGTGATCTCCAGCAAACTTGTTCCCATGTTGTAGGAACACCGCAGCATGTCTTAATAGATACAAATCTCTAAAACCATATGAAGCTTCCCGTCAATATCAATAGCAAAGATTAGGGAACTCAACCTGTCAGATATTAAAATCACTTCTGCCAAGTGCTGGGCTGCCCAGAATTGATTCACTCTTTGCAGGTTGCTTTTCCTTTGTTGTCAATGTCTTCCTTTTGTGCGGCGCATCCTTATTAATATATTTATTAAATTTGCTTACCTGTCTTCCGATAAAATCCTGAGGGTGCACACAAGCATGCATACACACACACATACCATTGCTAACCTCTGACCCCACAATACCTGTCTGCCGGGGTAGCTATCAGCATCCCCTGGAGTCAAAAAAGGAAAGCGCCTCTTTCAGCACCCACTTTGAAAAAAGGCCTTGAGCATTTTCTCACTCATAATGATGTCTTCAGCTGGAATGCCAGCACATTTCCACATCTCCTTGACAGGCGAACAGACTAGAAGATATACATAAAATTAAAATAGAATGGAATGGAATGTTAAAAGAAAGGTTTGCACTTCTGATTACATTCAGGCTTGTTGTAATTTTGTATTTAAAAAAGGCAGTTTCCAAATGGATCTGCTAATACATGCAAAAGCTCTCTGTTGCTCAATAAAATGTCATAAAATATTAGTGGGAGGGGGATCTGAAATGTTAAACATCTTAGTCATATTTATACAGACTCAAAAAATAGAGGAATCCTGTAGTTATGATTGATTGAGGTAACTGATTAGCCGCAGATATTATAAGTGTTGAGACTAAATTATCAGCCGTATCAGTCTGATTGCAGTAAAACATGAAAACATTGACTTTTGTCTAGTTAGAGAAATTTATTTTTCCCTGAATGACAATCCTTTAAGTAGAAACCAGGCAGTCTGCCAGCTCTCCATGTCATACACTGAAGTTTGCAAAGGCAGGCTGTATTTTCAGCTGTTTGTCTGAGCTCAATGAGCAGTGCTCAGGACTTTTACAGTTTCACAATAAACGTATCTCTGCAGATGCTGCTTCAAGCTTCCTTAAGCTGTGTGAAGGACAGTCTCTGCACGTTTGGGATAAATGAAATTATAAATTGAATGGTAACGATAGTCTACATGGAGTTAAGTCTTTGGTGAAATATTTCTTTTAAAAGAAACAGTAAGCCACTTTAGAGCACAGCTTCCAGTGGAAGCTCAATTAATATGTTTAACAAGATTGAAGTAAATGTCCACTGTAACTGTGGAAGCTTTCAAAAACAGCTTTTGCTCCCATAATTTTCTTTTAAGATCAGCCACCATCACTTCCTGCCACATGAGGAGTATAAAACCCAGGACCTGACCCAAATATGTTTAAAATATAACTTGCCCAAATATGATCTGCCCAGCATTGAACTTGGAGGTCTCTGAAACTTCCTCCTTTAAAAAGTATGGCCAGGGCTGTTGAATCTGATTATCTCTTGAATACTCACTCTTACTGCAAGATACAGATGGGGTGGATCTCTCTCTCTCTCTCTCTCTCTCTCTCTCTCTCTCATGCCCCCAGTTGGCACATAGTGAAGACATCTGGTTATTTTCCCCTGAAGTCGTGATTTGGTAGTAGAAGGGTTTGTTTCGATGGAAAAAAAATAAGCAATATCAACTTTACCTGCAAATTTATGGAATGCTTGTAGATCACTGGTATTATTCCCTTTATTACAATAAGTTTAAAAAACCCTACTGACAAAATGTGTAGTGTTCAAACTTTGTACTTTATTAGTAAATTTAGGAGCAGGGGAATGTGGTATAACCATATGAATGATTAAAGCAACCCACCTAAAATAAAAGGAATCCAATATGAATCATATTTTCTGTTCTGACTAATGTAAAGGAAAATACTTGGTTTGGTTCAAGACCATGTTCAGTTGCAAGCTTTTTCTCTGAATTTCACAAGGGGATTCATGACATTATTAATGAAAGCAGTCTGAAACACAGGAAGTTTCTAGACAAGTAATATCGGTCTCACTTAAAGCCACAAAAGAGGAAACCCAAAGGGAGGTCAGAATGCCAGGATGGCATGCTGTCTTCAACTTCTGTTGTTGTGTCTATTTTCCTAAAAACTTATTAGAGGTTGTGTTTTTTAAAAAACAACAATCCTGTTCTTTAAAAGCTGAAGACGATTTGCTAAAATGTATATTAATAACAGTCTTTCTTCTCATCAATGTTTTGTTAACCATAAATGGAAATCTAAAAGTGCAAATTAGTGTTGGAAAGGAAAAGTTGGAAAGCCATACAAGCTACCAGAAAAGATGTTAGGGTGCCATATAGCTTTGGAACCTAAGGTGCTTCTATTTTGTTATGTAAGAGGCATTTTCTCAGAAAATGATCTAGAAGTGATAACTGGTGCTAAGCTCTTAGCTATGACAGCTAAATGGAACTTCTATGTTCGGAGGCAATATGTCTCAGAATAACCACCACTAAGATTCAGACAAAAAACGGGAGAGTGGTACCTTCATATCCTGCTTTTGGGTTTCCAAGAAATTTCTGGTTGGCCAGCATGATGAGCAGGATGCTGCTGGACTAGATGGTCCTTTGGTTTTGATCTAGAAGGGCTCTTCTCTGTTTTATGATGAATCAATGAGAATCTTCTTTTGCGGTTATTTAATTTTTATCACAGTATTCCAAATCCAGAATTCCTTTCCAGAAGAAATCTTATTCTGCCCATTCTAGCTAGCACTCTCTCATCTTCTCCCTCCTCTTCCTAAGGTGAATAAGGAAAGAGAATAAACAAGCAGGTGACATCAATTCTAAATTCAAGAGAATGACTGATGGTTCAAAACATAGCAGCCATCGTGTGGTCTTGGATTAGGGATTTTGGGGGGTTGTTGTTTCAAAGAGACGCTCATTACATGGAAAAGCCCAGGCATAGCAGTTAATGATTTTGTCCTTAGGAGTGGATATAACCACTTCCTTTAAAAAAAAAATACCTAACATTTTGAAAACTGGTTTTTGTTCTTGCACACAAGTAGCTTATGGTTCCAACTAGAAAAAGTCAGTTTTTCTAAGCCTCAAACACACAGCCTGTATAAATATGTAAATGCCAGCTAAATCAAATTTGTTTATGATCTAATTTGCAACACTTCCTATACTGAGATACATTGTGTCATATTTATATAAGAATCTACCAAATGTTCAATATTTATATAAGAATCAGTGGATTAAAACAGCATGATTGTGTACATATATCTATCTGTTTTGCAATGGGTTCAACAGGCATGCACACATGGCCGGCTCAAGTCATTTTTCTGCCCCCATTCCATATAAGAACTAAACAAACTACATGGGTAATTGAATGATACCAGGAATTAAATGGTGCCAGCCTTCGTGCTGGCATAGTTTATTTCCCTCCTGTTTTTTCCCAATGGGGGAGGAGGAATAATAATAAGAAAAGGATGGAAAAGCACACAATTACTTCTCCTCACTTCCACCCTGACAGCAAGAGCCTGACAGAGTATTGGAGGAGGCTGCTTAACCCCCAGTTCTGACCTCGCCCCAAAAGCTGTAATATATTGCATGATTTCCATTTTTGTATGTGTGCCATACACTTAGGTTTCTCCCTCTGAAAATGCTGGTGAACATTTTCGGATATTAACCTGGAGGAAAAAATCAGGAGATGATGTAGGCCACATCTGCATGTTCTGCATAGCATGGATATTCCACACTGTCAGTTCATGGGATGTTTGGTGTTAGACAACATATCCCTGTTGACCCAACATTGACAGGGAGAGCAGAATTGCACGTGCACTCCTCCCCATGCATACTTGACACAACTTGAGTTGTGTACAAGTCTGTCCATGTACAAGTTGTATGCATGTTGACTCTGTTCAAAGGTGATGGTAAATGCACTAAGGGGCAGTCCCCATAAGCACAATTCAGTTCTGCCCCACTAAACAATGCTTGAACTGGGCTATGGATGTGCGAATAATTTAAACATGTTAAAGAAGGAGGATGCTTCAAGAGAAACTGGACTTCTAATATACACTATGGCCAGTGCTTTTTCTTCTGGGGGATTGCAGGGGGATGTATACCCCTAAACATTTTGTGAATCTAAGTTTGGCCTCATTGAGAGTGGCAGTATTTCAATATGAGTAGGGAAATGAGGGTACCCCTAAACATTTTTTTAGAAATAAAGCACTGACTACAGCCAATTACTGTCCATCTGACTATACATATATCTGGAAAGAGGTTGGGAAGCTCTCACTTTCCCCAGGTATGAAAACAATCGTCAGAACTGGCTCCTATGACAGATGTGCAGACTAACTATACTATTTCAAATAGACTGGGATATTTTTGTCTGAACAGAGCTGGATACAATACGCCTCAGATCTGCAAATTGTTCATAAACTCTCCAGTAATTTCATCCCGTAGATAGCAAGTACTTGTGCTTGCTTATGGAGAAACACAACCAAAATAAACCAACATAGACTCTTTATGAGGTGCTGAGCCTTCCTCCCCATAAAGGTTGTATACATTAAATGCACAAATGTCCAACAACCGTAATAGTAGAAGGGAGGGAAATCAGTTTTGCTTTTCTACTTCTTTTTCACTTACTTGGTATTAACTTAATGGTATGTGACACTCCTATCAGTGCAGCGCAATAAAAATGAAATGGTGCCCAATGTGCATAGACACCATGAAAATCTCAATGACAACAGCGACAACAAAAATTATATGTCCTCTTTCCTTTCCTTTCCTTTGCTCTTTGTATTTACTTGAGAATATGAGGGTTGGCTCTCAGCACACCACAATAAAAGTAAAACTGGTGGTCAAAGTGCCAAAAAAGAAAGGCAAATAAAACCCCACTCTTTTGCATCATGCAAGGAGATGCAATTCTGATCACAGAATATCACTTATGAGAAGTGAGAACAGCTAAAATCTTCACTGCTAGTTATTTTAAAACCACTATTCAAGCATTAAAAACCAGGTTTTAAAAGAGGGTTTTCATATACTACACTCTTATTGTGTTTATACTTTTAACAAAATGAATGTTTTTACTTAAATGTTTACAGCGAAATTTCTCATAAAAATAAAATATACAATCATTTTATAGGATAATAGGCAAGCAGACATCTGCATGCAACATTTCCCTCATTAGATGTTATCATGTTAGCTTATTTTTATGACGTTGCCGCAAAATACAATGTGCTGATTTGTAAGCTCCTTAAAATATATGTTTTGAAATCTTTAAACTGTGTTTGGGGGGATTGTTTCATTGTTTTACAATGAGCAGTAAGAATCCTGAGGATTAATTATACCAAGACCATCATGTGAACCAAAAGCCCTATATGTGTTACACCAGCTCTTCTCAGATCCCAGCTGCAATTTCAAAAGTGCAATAAGAGCCGCAAATATATTAAGTATACATGTGTAGATGTGAGAACTATTGGTCCGATATAGGCTGACATAGATAGCAACAGCTGCAATCAGATACAGATTCAAGAATGCTGGCTCCCAATGGGCAGAAGACCATTTAACTGGACTGTGGCCAATGTATGCAAATAGCCCTCCTTTTTATTCAAATCACTGTACAAAGCATAGATGCCATCAGCTCTACAGTCCTTCGACATGCTGGGCAAGCACCATGAACTGACATCAATAGCATGTTTGAAACGGTGCAATGGGGTGAGGTACTAGGCATCACTTGTAGTGCTGCTCATACCTAAAGTTTGTATTACTTCTGTGTGCCCCAACATTCCTGTAGCAGGGGGCAAAATGACCACAGAGGTGGATTTAGGGTAGCACAACCGGTTCAGCTGCACTGGGCATGGAGCCTTGAGGGTGTCACAACTGTGCTTTAGAATGGAGCATGAGAGGTGGGGGCACTAAATTTTGGCATTGCAGAGGACACTACTGAAATTTGAGACCCCCCAAGGACTGCCACTGATAACCAGGAGAGCAAGGAAGTTATTGGCAAATTTTAGATTTAGCATCTACGGATTGCACATCACATGCTTCCAGTGTGCCAAATCGAAGTGTCTCAATTGTTTTCCTAACAGAACCATTGTTGCTGGTGATGCAAAAAAGGAAATCGCTTATCAATGACTCTTGAAAGGTGCCAAAACAGCAGCACGGCACGTGCTATTAACATTAGGAAAATCTAGCTCTAGAGATTAGTTCTACCTGCTGGAAATTATTTAGCTAAAACTGATGCTTTCCTTTGAGTTTTCCATGCAAAACGAGTGATAAATGGGATCCATTAACTCTTTCAGACATGTTCCTCATAACAAAGGTGACAGGAATGCAAAACTAACATCTGAATTTGAATTAAGGCCTTCTACGAATCTATGATTCTAGCACACACTTGCCAGATTGTCTGAAATTGGGCTACAGTCCTATATCATGCTGTGTTGGTGACACAGCTATTTGGCATTCTGTTGCTAGATGCAACTCCAGGACTAGCACTAGCCCAGCAACAATGATTAATACTGCTATTGTTGCAAATTGTTCTGTAGTAGAATTCCCAACCAAACCCAGCAGTGTTGCACAAGAATAATTAAGAGTACAATGCGGATGCAAGTGGAGACGTGTCAAGACTCACCAACAGCATTTCTATACATCATTCTCACAGACATTTGGCTACCATAATGACACTAAGTCCAGTGCAATCTTGAATTTAATGCTTTCTTTCTAGCAAATGCCATAGAGTGTATGGTGCAATGGCCACACTGCCATATTTGCCAGGCACGAGAAACAGATTTGCACACATATATCCAAATCATATTTACATGATCAGCCTGCTCCAAGAGCACTGTCCAGTGGATTTCTTGATCCGGGAATGAAAGGAAGATCCAGCTTTACAAAGTACGATTTGGATAAGGTAGTCAAGTCTTGTGGTTTATTGTCTATTTGGTCACATAATGTCATGCTTCCTACAACTACTCTTGGAAATTGTTAAATATCGGTTGCACTACCATATAAACTTTCATGGCAGTATTCCCGCTGAGCTTAGGAAACCTATTTCCAATAATTATGCATAGGACTGGGCTGCAAGTTATCAATTTTAATTCTAAAACACACTGAACATTAAGGGAGTAATTAAAGATCAGGTAATCATTAACAAAATTGGATTGGAATTAATATGAGCAAAAATTCAAGGAATTGTCCATGAGTGTAACCATCATTGTGCAATGCAAACATCTGTATTTGCAATACTGACATACCATAAATCAAAGTGTTAGAAGAGTTACTGATCAGCATGAAAGAATTCCCATTAAAGCTACATATGTTGCTGGAATGCTGTCAAACCACTCTCAAAATGCATGGCAACATACCAGATTGTTAGGCCAGAGATGTCTTAAAAACCTGCCTCTGAACTGGACAATCAGCATGAAGTCCTGGTTCAGAAAGTACTTTTCTGCTTTATTGGCTATGATTCAGAGTGGAATGAATCCCTCAAGCCACCATTTCTTTCATCTGGGTTTGGTCAAACTATTACACTTCTAAGCTCCAGGTGCCAAAATATGAATATATATCTGAGAAATTCCTTCTTTTTTTCTCTGCAAAACTTTAAATCCAGCAACAAAGGAATTTAATAGGGAAGTTACTTTCTTTCTGAAGAGAATTCCACCCCAGCTTTCTGCAGCTCTGCTGTTTGGATAAAAATGATTGGAAATCATCACTCCAGTCATTTAAATAATCTGTTAAAAAGCTATTAGGTTTCCCTAATGCCTAGTCATTTTTAAATGGCTCTCAATTTGATTCATGAACAATACACGGCCAGTACATGATTCATGTGACCAATCACTTAGCAAAAATGCAATTTTTATTAAGAGCCTCTTCAGGAAACTGATATCATATGGGGGTGAAATCCATTGCATCTTGTAGCATTTCAACACAATTTTTCAAATGGTTATGCCTCGAGGGTCAACTTTTCATGAACCAAAGTTGGCAGAAAAGTTAGAATTGGTAGAGAAGATCAAGGAGCCCAAAGGAGAGGGAAGATGTGGCGCAGATAATTGTGAAAATTGTGCTCCAGTTCAAGTGCAATTGGAGCTTTGTAAAGACATTGAGCTATCAGTGCATCTCAAATTTTATTGTAATCAGAGCTCATTGCACAGTCATTAGATGTGTGTACACATGTAAATGGCAGTGGCTACTTAGTTATGAATACATGGAAACGTTCAATGAGACAAATGCATTCTAGCCCTGCTATTGAGACAGCATGTGTTCGCTTAATCAATATGATAAATAGGAGTTGCTAGATTGACCATGTACTGATATCAATTACATAAAAGTACATATTTGCAAATATGTGCTAAGGTGTGGAATTAGCTTGCATTGACCTTAGGGATTCAGGGAACACAAGATAACTGGGAGCTAAACTGGTTAAGAGAATGAGCTGTGGTGGCCCTGATTCAAATCTCATCTCTTCGATAAGCTTTCTGGCTGGTCACAGGCAAGCAAGGGCACACCTAGGGCTTGATTGGGTTGGCCCCCTGCCAAGGGTGCAGGCCTGTGGGGGCACAAAAATCACACCTCTCCACTTTGGCTCGGAGCGGCTAGGAACCCACCTGTCCATCTGCACACTCCCTGAGCTGCTCCTCCGCTGTTCTGGGCAGCCAGGCGAAGGGACAGGGAAGGAAATACATCTCCTTTTCAAGGGCACAGTAGATGGGGAGTGTTGATACAGCTGCTTGCGAGGGACGCAAGGGAGCCTAGGTACACCTTTATTAAGACAAGCCATATTTGTCAATTCCCAGTACAGATCTAACATAAGAATAAAAGGTACATGTCTAAGTTGTTGGAAGGATAGCTAAAATAATGTTTGTGAAACTCCAAACACTTCAGGACAGTGCTGTATGAAAACTTAATTATTAAAATGTTGGGCTGGGTACATCTGCACAAAGTTTTAGTGAACCAAAGTTTACTCAACAACTGCTGCCTCTGTTTTCTGAGTGCTAGATTGAAATTGATCTCAGCACCTGGCGCTTAATTCAAAGTGGAGTTTACTCTTGCAGCACCCCTAAAATAAGTGTCTGTGGGGAATGGTTCTTCTCCACATTTCACAAAACAATCCTGGACATTTGTTAGTTACTTTTCAAAATCACTAATATGGTTAAAGAAATGTTGCATATTTAAGGATTACAGCTAAGGCATAAGAGATATTGAATCATGCAATTCAGCGTGTTAGATCTGCTTATAGAAACATTTTAATTTATCTTAAAGCATTTAAGATTCTAAGTAAAGGTTTATGACGCTTCATTATACAATGTAAAAGTGATATGGAAAACAATGCACTAAAATCCTAAACATGTTAGGAATAAATCCTTCTAAGTTCCATGGGGCGTACTCCCTTCTGTTCACTTCCCTTACCTAGAAGTAAGCCCCATTTAACTCAATAAGGCTTACTTCTGAGTAGACATGTATAGGATTGTGGCTGTTAATGCAGTTATGGCAGCAGTCCTAAGCATATTTACCTGAAAATGTCTCATTGCATTTAGATGGATGCTATGTAAACATACTTAGGGTGGGAATGTGTGTTGTGCCATCCCTCATATAGAACAGAAAGCAACACATAGCAATATCAAGTAGAAGTGATCTCTTGAAATTTCTTGCTTGAGTAGAATTCATTTTATGCACTTTAAGAGGCTACTAAGCAAAAGTTTAATCACGTCATGTAAACTCATATTTTGAGGAAATCAGTAATTGTACTTCACAGAAACTATTACATAAAAGTCAATTCTATACCAAAATGCTTGGTCACTTGAAAAAATGCAACATGCTTAGCAACCTGATCAATGGTTCATTTAGACTTTTTACATTGTGAATACCCCAGTTACTGACTTAGTAAAGAATGATTCATAGTCCATAAATGTTAAGCACTCAAACATGCGTACAAAAGACTTGGATATTATCATAGACTCTTTCTTGGTAAATGATACTGGTGTTATTGTTCAGTTAATCGGTCCCATAATATGTTAAACAATGTACCAAGATACATACAATATCTTACAAGGTAATCCTCTTTGGAATCCACAGTTCAGCTAATAAGTATTCCTCTCTCTAATCTCTCTAATCCTTAGTTGATATAGGTCAGGAAAACATTAAAACTAAGCTTCATTTGATAAAACTAAGTGTGGATTTCTTGTTAATTCTTTCTGCATTTTTTGTTATTTTATTTTGAGAACAATGTCAAAGTTTGGGATTTTTAACTTCCGTTCATTTCAATGGGAAAGACTTAAGCTGTAATCCTATACCTACTTCCCTGCAACACCATCTTCAGTTACATATGCGTAAACCCCCAGGTTTCAAAAGAACACGGCATCATTTTATAAGGATTTTCCATCTGCATAACAGCAATAGTTGTTAAACTTCTGCATGCAATCTGGTTTGGGACTGGTTATTTGAAGGACCACCTGCAACTACAGGAACCTGCCCAGGTCTTAGGCTCTGTTCACAGGCCTGCCAGCAAGATCAATTAGATAGATGTGCACAAGTCCTTTTTTTTAGTGGTGTCCCTCTGCTTGTGGAAGTCCCTTCCAAATTTGGGAGGAATTCCATGTAGCGCTCCACCAGTGCAAGCATTTCTGTTTGCCCATTAGAACAATCTTCCCTCTCCTCCCCACATGTACGGTTCTGGTAGGGTTGCCATATTTCAAAAAGTAAAACCAAAGTTTATTGACTTGCCTTCGATCCAGGGACAAAGTGCTGCCTTTTGGAGATGTTGGGGGTTGTCTCTCTCTCTCTCTCATACGGGCAAGAGTGCAGGGGGATGAGCTGGGAAAAACCTCATTGCATTAATGGAAGACATTGTGTGGGTTTCTGCTAGTGACACCAGTTACCTGAATCTGGCCCACAGTGCCCTCCAGATGTTTTGGACCAGGGTTTTGTTTCAGCCGGAACTCAGTTCCAGAACCTGTCAGGTGGGCACCACTGCCATTATAAGAGAAAGAGGGAGGCATTTGTGGTGAGTTCGAGTGGGCGTCTCTTTTTCTAGAAAAATAACACTCTTTTGGACTATAGCTCCCATCAGCTCCAGCCAGCATGGTCAAAGGTCACGAATGGTGGAAGCTGTAGTAACCAACATCTGGAGGGCAGCACATTGGCCACCCCTGCTAGAAACTATTTCAGACAGCTGTTTTAGTGGGTGGCACTGTGGGTTAAACCACAGAGCCTAGGACTTGCTGATCAGAAGGTCAGCGGTTCGAATCCCCATGACGGGGTGAGCTCCAGTTGCTCGGTCCCTGCTCCTGCCAACCTAGCAGTTCAAAAGCACGTCAAAGTGCAAATAGATAAATACCTTCCAGCGGGAAGGTAAACGCTGTTTCCGTGCGCTGCTCTGGTTCACCAGAAGCAGCTTAGTCAAGCTGGCCACATGACCCGGAAGCTGTCTGTGGACAAACGCTGGTCACGACTGGACCTAATGGTCAGGGGTCCCTTTACCTTTATATAATGTTTTAAATCATGTAGGAGAGTCACCCTTGGAAAACATGAACTGAGAGGTAGCATATATATCCTGCAAATAAATGAATATAATGCAGTTATTGTGGATATGTGTGCATCTTCCCAAAAGAAGGTGCTGGGTGTGTTTCTCTACTTGATTGGGGTTCAATTTACTGCTTCGCTGCTTGGACAATTTCACATGCCTTAGGCTGTTTGAACTCATTTATATGAGCAGACATAGTCAGTATAAATATGAACGTGAACATCTTCTATCTCACACAGTCATGCATTTCCATAGTAAGATAGAGCCTTATATTTGGAATAGTCTTTGTTTAAAGCCTTCTGACTTTATTTTATTCTTTCTCCCCTGCTCCAAAAAGGAGAAAAAAAAGGAGGGGGGAAGCCCAGTTATAATGGAGGCTTCAATTTATGCTTTATGAACAATGCCAGCATCATCATTTTAATGTTGTCCATATGGGCTTCTAATAATAGATAAGAGACTACACTTGTATTGTATGTCTTAGAGACATTTAAAATCTTGATAGGGAAAGGCTGATTTCATTGGCCCCACAGTTAAAGGAAAGCAGACCCTAATTAAAAGAATTCTGTTCTGAATTAACTAGTTTGACATGTGCTAATTGACAGTTCCTGTGAAATGGTTCTAATTAAAGTCAATATGTCTTTTTCAATTAAAAGGAAATTAAGAATATACTAATATACATTAACAACTTAATCTGCCTTCAATATCCCATATATCAGCAGCCTTAATGTTATTGGAGAGCCATCTGACATATATCTTCCACTGTTTGGTTGCAAAGTCTTATTACTCCAAAAGAACACCAACCATATATGAATCCCCTTCCACAAGGAGAAAGCTGGATTTTGCTCTCATTTTTGCAGACCCTAAGTGCAAGGATGATTGAAGGTAAACCCACGTTTCTTGACAGTTAAGGTAAGGAGGTATTCTTATTACGCTGCAAACTTTGGTTGCAAAAGTTATTCTAGGAAAACCTTCTGACATTGCTCCTACTACTAATCAGAAGGTTGGCCCATTTTCAAGATTTGACCCAAGTATAAAATACATTCCTATGAGACATGTGCCCAAGAAAATTGACTTACCCCCATTATATTCTTTTTATCAGCTTGAAAGGAGATGCTCTCAATAAATACTTTTTGATTTATATAAAAATGAAAAATATGATTGCCTGGTAGGTAAAGGAAGAATCCAACATTGAGCAAGTGGAGCACCACTCATGCAGCAGGATTTCAGTTTCCCTCCCTCTTATAGCCCCTGTGTACCTCAAAAATCTGCTCTAGTGGGTCACCCAACTCTCCAGAACAGATTTTGACGGCTGCAGAGTGAAGGAGAAGAAGGCAACATCCTGATGTCTATAGGTGGTAAATTTTACTCAGAGTATACCCATTGAAATTAATGAGCATGACTAAATTAGGTCTATTACTTTCAACCGGTGAGTAAAACTTTGTTGAATACCACCCCATATGTCTGGATTCAGCCCAATGTGCTGGAAGCTGCCCCTTGACTATATGCGATGATAAGGAAGTGCTGTTTATCAACCACAATATTAAATCAAATCAATACTTTAATGCTAACAGCTGTGCTGATTGATAATATTCCTTTGCCCTTTCTTCAATACCAGCACTGATACATTTAAGCAGCTGCAATATATGGTAGACTATTAAAATTCAAATGATTTCCTTACCTAAAATATATGGTCTAACTTTGGTTTCTGTCTGTTTCAATTGTTTACAACGAACATAATTAATTATGTTAATTTTGGAGTCACTCTTCCCTTGTAAACAGCATACAGTTTAATTGAACGTGGAAAACTGCCTTATATTGAGTCAAACTACTAATCTATCTAGCTCAGTACAGTGGTACCTCGGGTTACATACGCGTCAGGTTACAGACTCCGCTAACCCAGAAATAGTGCTTCAGGTTAAGAACTTTGCTTCAGGATGAGAACAAAAATTATGCTCCGGCGGCGCAGCAGCAGCAGGAGGCCCCATTAGCTAAAGTGGTGCTTCAGGTTAAGAACAGTTTCAGGTTAAGAACGGACCTCCGGAACGAATTAAGTACTTAACCCGAGGTACCACTGTATTATCTGCACTGACTGGCAGCATTTATCTGGGGTTTCAGAAAGGGATTCTTCCTAACCAGTCATGTAGCCAGCTGTCCTTGTGGAGATGGCCAACCACATTTCTAGATGGGGCATTTGGGGGGGGGAGGTAAATTGTGCCAACCAATTCCTCCTCCACTGCCCCACATCACTGCTGGAGAGGATGTGAGGGCCAGGCCAAGGGAAGGAAAGGGAAAAATATGTCCTCCCCCCCCCCCGCCGCCTCTGCCCCAAACATAGCTGGCAATGCCAAGGATTCAACTTGAGGCCTTCTGCATGGAAAACACATGTTCTGCCACTCTCTCCCTTTTTTAAACTAAGAACTTTGGTATAAGTTCTCATCCTAAAAGACATGAAGAGAACCCATGACCACATTCATACCATAAATTTGAAGCACTGTGATATCACTTAAAACAGTCAAGGCTTTGCCCAAAGTATTCAGGAAGCTGTAGTTTGTTAAAGGTACTGAGAGTTGTTGGAAGACCTCTAGTCCCCAAAGTTCCCTGCAAATTTGTAAACAGTTCTGGAAAATGTAACTTGGGGGGGGGGGTCTTCTAACATCAGGTGTACATTGCTTCAGGCATCAGTGGTATAAGTGCACTGGAGCCAGAGGAAATGTGTACACAGCCTGAAAAAAGGCCAAACGGGTCCTCCATCAGAGTGAGACCTCCTGGGCAAGGTGGCCAGGAGACTGCCTGTACCACCACTACTTTGCCACAGTGACTAGAATTTTTGGCCCTCCCTCATCCCGCTCTAAGAATGAGGCAGGGTGGAGGAGGAGAACCCTGCAGTAGCATCATATGGGCAGCAACAGGAGCTTGAGGAGTGGTCCAGCAGAGAGACCACAAATTTACTACTCCGTCTGCCCATTGCTTGAGACCATTTTTTCATTTTGCCCTATGACTGGACTGGCCCTGGCGCAGAGTGGAGGAAGCACATGGCTGTGGCTTGCACATGTAGCCCCTAAGCCATGGTTCAGCATTACATCGTAAGTGGACCAATGCATCAAGATGGTGTCCTATGGATGTATACGGGGGAGAGCTTCCAGGCTATTACTGATAACCCCTCTTTATTTCCAGCAGATCCAACGTTTTCCCTAAGAATAACTTCTGCACTACCTTCTTACTCACAATTCGCAGGAATCAAACACCAGAACAGAAGCAAGTAGGAACAGGGGCGAAATCATTCGTGTATCCCCTGCTTATATAAACCACCTCCAAATGAAGTTGTTGATTCGAGCTAACAAATCTGGATTACAGCCTCAGGACCATGTAAACAAACAACTTGAAGATTATAGCAAGCACATTTATGAAGGTAAATGCATAAATCTAAAGGCGTCATATATAGGCCTGGTTCAAAGAATCATGTCTTAATAAGAACAAACCTTGGTTCAAATAAAATGGGAAATTGTAGTTAATTAAAGACTTTCGGTTTAATTGTTTCACACTGTGGGGAGAGGCAAGAGGGGCCTTTGCACAGGCAAAGGATTTGTACATATTTCAGCTTATTAAAATGAGATATATTCCAAAAGCAGCTATAGGATCCAAACCAGGATGATTAAAGTTCAATAACATGTGCATTGTTAATATCAGCATTACCAACTGATTTATTTATTTGTTTTGCCTTTTGAAATAACCTTCATTTGACATGGATTTTTTCCCCCTAACTGTACTACAGTAAATATGTGTTTTTATTAAGTCACTAGATTAGCAGGATTTTTATGGTGAGAACAGGGCAAGTGAGAACTGCAACAAAATATTGCAGTGCATCCTCGTTCCTAAAAGCATCTGAAATGTCCAGGGAAACCCGGGGTCTTTGGCAGCCCATATTGGAAGTGTTGTTTTTTGGCAATTTTCATTTAAAAAATAGGTTAAAAACTTCATTTTCTTTGGAGATTTTGCAAAAATAAAACCAAGTCCGTCCCCCTGCCGCCGGCGCAAAAAAAAAAAAAGTTCAACAACTTGCCTGAATTTTCACTTTTTGAAATATGGGACTCCTACCTCCAAGTGATACTTGTTTTCCCACCACCACCTCACAATTCCATTTTTCATCTTCCAACCATTGCTCTACATTGTGTGTAGCTACTGAGTTTGTCCAGTACTCATTGGACTATTATTATTATTTATTGAATTATACTGCCCTATACCCAGAGGATTGCCCCCTCAGATTTGTTTAGCAATGACTTATGTTCGTTTTTATTTCCCAGTTCATTAGACTTCAATTCCCATCATCCTTGACAAATCGGCCCACGTTGACTGAGGCTGATGGGAGACGTAGTCCAGCATTACCTGGGGTCCCAGGGTTGGGAAAGGCTGCCTTAAAGGAACAATTTGTGCATTGGCAAGAATTCATCTGCACCATTTTGCTCCTCTTTCTATGCTACTGATTATCATAACCCTTCTACAAGATTAAAGTGGCAGAGTGCAGACAAGAATACAGACATTCTGTCCTGGCTTTCCATTATGCAATGGTCAAGGTGGCTTACAGAAAATTTATATTTTTAAAAAAGCTGTAAAAATCAAATCAAATAAGCACTTTAAAAAAAAAGGTACAATTGGCATGTTTTTTAGGCTGCTTCCCAGTCCCAAAACCCCTCATCCAAACCTCTGGAGAACAGGTCCCTGGAGAGACAGCACACCCTTAGACTAGGAAGTACATGCATGCCACTTTCCTCTTTCTGACTAGACAATACATTACTGCTGCTATATAAACAGAGGAAGTGTGATGATTTATTATTATGACCCAGATCTTACGTTTCTCTGATTTTCATGGCTTAAAATCAGAAAGAGTTTTAAACTGGAACTATTTTTAACTGCCTTTGTAAGTGAAATTGTTTTTAAATGTTTGTATTATTTTATATATGGAATTGTTTTTAATTGTTTTTAGACTTCTTTTATGGCTATAACTCTTTTATTTTATTTTACTTGTTTTATAATTGTAATGTGTTAGCATTGCAACCCACACTAGGACCCTGTTGTGCAGGGAGGTAAGAAGCAGAAATAAATAAATACATAAAAATCCAATTTCATGATGACACACTGGTTTTATTACATACACCACTCTGATTGGTTTTTCTTGATTTGTGGTGTATAAAATAAATAAGCAAACAAAACAGGCATGCAGGTTGAGATCATGGTCACCTTAGGCAGTACACCTTTCTTTAAAGTCATTTCAGCTAAACGTCTTGAAATTCTATATACAGATTGATGGTGCAAGGCTATTCGTAAAGGGTCTGGTGCTTTAAAGCTATTTGGAATAAAGGCTTTCTGACTTTCTGGTGATCTCAAAATGGTGCAAAGGTTGGGATTTCCTTTTCGGCTTGCATACACGTGTGCAAGGCTTGGCTCTCCGGTTCTTGGCTTGTTCTGGTTTTAATCTCATTGTTGGCAAATGGCAGATGGGAATGTTTTGTGGCTTGTAGGCTTTGGACGTCGCTGATGCAACCATGATCGCTCGCACAGATGCACCAGAGAAGAGCCATCTCAGTCCTTATACAATTTCCAGATTCCAGCTATCTTTGCCTTTATACAAATAATTAACCCGGCATCCTTTCTGTTTATATCCCAACTAGCAAAAGCAGAATTGTTTGTGTGAGGAAGAAACTGCTGTGCTGGCAAGGCGAGGCAAGCACATCCTAAAAAACGCTCCAGTCCAAGGAAAATTTTTCTTGGCAGTGGGTCTGTTCAAGTAATCAGCATGTGGGACATGGTATGCCACGGCCCAGGCAAGACCCCCTGTTACTAAAGCCTGTTTCTGCTCAAGTATCTGTCCCCCATCTCTCCTCCTCCCTCCCCCCACACCAGTCACATTTGCCTGCCCTTGAGTTCTGTGAAATAACTATACATCCTCTCTTAATATATACATTCTGGAAACTGTTTTCACTGCTAAAACAGAACAGATAAACATATTTTCAATATTTATTTGTTCAGCAGATAGAAAACAAAGTAATATGGGGTGGTTTTAATATCTTATTGGCTTTGCTATCCCAAGATCTTGGCCTCCGGCAGCCTTTCTTTACACACCAGGCACTGTGCTTCCCCTTCCCCTTCTCCCCCCCCCTTTGTTTGGTTTTTTAATTGAATATTTCATACCTTAGGTCAGCTGATTCTGGCCCCTGTTTGTTTTCCACATTCCAATGTGCGTTGCAGCATCAATTTTTAATTATTGTGGTTGTTATGATGAACATGAAACACCATTCAAGTTGCTCTCTTCGTTGCCTGGGAAAAGAAAGGAAAACTCCTTTTAGGTATCAATGGCTGTATCAGACTGACTGCTTTTACCATGTGTTCTTACCAGCTTTATTTTTTATTAAAGTTCCAAGCTCCTGTTTCTTAATTTTCTAGAACCTTCTGAAGTTTTCCAAACTATGTGTAAAAAATAAGACCCAGGCTGCTTCCAGACTGTTGTTATTTTGCAGATGGGATTCAGCGGCAAACCAGCAAATGAAAAGTGCACAGTGATAATGGATTTAGAATGGAAAGTGCACAGCTCACCAATGGATTTTTTGCTGAAAAGAAAGTGATGGGCAAAAGGCACCAGGAAATGTGGGGTAGTAAAAACTGCTTAAGGCAGTTGTATAACCTCCTGGCAAACAAATCAGAATAATATAATAATAATATTATAATAATAATAATTTAGTATTTATACCCCGCCCATCTGGCTGGGCTTCCCCAGCCACTCTGGGTGGCTTCCAAAAAAAATATTAAAATACTGTACTACATCAAACATTAAAAGCCTCCCTAAACAGGGCCACCTTCAGATGTCTTCTAAAAGTCTGGTAGTTGTTGTTCTCTTTGACATCTGGTGGGAGGGCATTCCACAGAGAGGGCGCCACTACCGAGAAGGCCCTCTGCCTGGTTCCCTGTAACTTGGCTTCTCGCAGTGAGGGAACCGCTAGAAGGCCCTCGGTGCTGGACCTCAGTGTCCAGGTAGGATGATGGGGGTGGAAACACTCCTTCAGATATACTGGACCGAGGCCGTTTAGGGCTTTAAAGGTCGGCACCAACACTTTGAATTTTGCTCGGAAACGTACTGGGAGCCAATGTAGGTCTTTCAAGACTGGTGTTATATGGTCTCAGCGGCCGCTCCCAGTCACCAGTCTAGCTGCTGCATTCTGGATTAGTTGTAGTTTCCGGGTCACCTTCAAAGGTACCCCCACATAGAGCACATTGCAGTAGTCCAAGCGGGAGATAACCAGAGCATGCACCACTCTGGTGAGGCAGTCCGCAGGCAGATAGGGTCTCAGCCTACGTACCAGATGGAGCTTGGAAACAGCTGCCCTGGACACAGATTTGACCTGTGCCTCCATGGACAGCTGTGAGTCCAAAATGACTCCCAGGCTGCGCACCTGGTCCTTCAGGGGCACAGTTACCCCATTCAGGACCAGGGAATCCTCCACACCTGCCCGCCTCCTGTCCCCCAAAAACAGTACCTCTGTCTTGTCAGGATTCAACCTCAGTCTGTTAGCCGCCATCCATCCTCCAACCGCCTCCAGACACTCACACAGGACCTTCACCGCCTTCACTGGTTCTGATTTAAAAGAGAGGTAGAGTTGGGTATCATCCGCATACTGATGAACACCCAGTCCAAACCCCCTGATGATCTCTCCCAGTGGCTGCATGTAGATGTTGAAAAGCATGGGGGAGAGGACAGAACCCTGAGGCACCCCACAAGTGAGAGCCCACAGGTCTGAACACTCATTCCCCACCACCACTTTCTGAACACGACCCAGGAGGAAGGAGCGGAACCACTGTATGACAGTGCCCCCAGTTCACAGCCCCTCAAGACGGTCCAGAAGGATGTTATGGTCGATGGTATCAAACGCCGCTGAGAGATCCAGCAGAACTAGGAAACAAGGCAGTTTCAGTCCCATGATGAGGCCTGAATCCTGACTGGAAGGGATCCAAATGGTCACTAAACAAGTGATATTGTATAATACCCCACATAATTAGTGTATACAAATTGGGATACATCACAGATCAATTACCACAGATAAGGCTTTATCACCTCAAATGTAAAGGGAACCTCAAACACAATACTTAATGAAGCTACAAGCTTCTGTAGGCTGAGATATCAGCTGATACATCACAAAAGGATGTGTGAATATCAGCTCTACATTTTTGGCCTTTTGTGATGTGGCGGCTCTAGCTGTCAATGAAAGAAAGAGCTTCAGAGTGACATCATCATGCAACTTGGTCATTCACTGGTCATACAGGGCAGCTCTTAGCAAAGGGCAAAAGACATGGTGAAGCATCAGCTCACTTTGATGGAGTTGGTATAATGCAGGCTTCCTCAACCTTGGCCCTCTAGAAATTTTTGACCTACAACTCCCATGATCCCTAGCTAGCAGGACCAGTTGTCAGGGATGATGGGAATTGTAGTCTTAAAACATCTGGAGGGCCGAGGTTGAGGAAGCCTGGTATAATGGTGTACCGGTAAGTAATTGCTCACAAGTAGAAGCAAAGGCTTCACAGGTTGAGTTTTGATGTCTAATATAAATTTGAGTTTTGAATTGCAGTGTAATTTTACTGAGAAGCATCTGATAGGCAGAAAATAGATACCATTTATGCAGGATTTTCACATACCTTCTAAAATGTTTTTCAGCCTAATGACTGTATAGAAAGACATATAGATGCATCACACTGCAGATATGCTTTTCCAGCCAGGCATGTGAGAGAATTTGCAATAAATGAGGCTGATTTTCAGAGAATAAATCTCTAAGGGGGGGAGGGAATACATTGTACATTGTGCTTTCTGAAATATAGGAGCCTGCCCTTGATATATGGCAATAATTGAATAAGTGGACATTTAAAAATCCATATAGGCTTTTATTTTATTTTTTCCATGTAAATATATTCAGTAGAATAGTTACAATTCACTGCGTTGAAAAAGTCTTTTCTTTGATGAGGAGTGTCACTGTGCAACTCCGAATGAGTGTGTTTTGAAGGTTTAATGGTGTAAAATGACACAAATGTTTCAAGACCGGCTATGCTTTAGTACACAAGAGTGTGCTATGAGGATAACAGGAACACTGAAGCCACAAATTGCTGGGAATGAAGCATTCTGTTTAAGTTTGTGTGTGTGACAGGGAATCCTCTCAGCACTTTCATCAATGCAAATGCAATTAAAACATTGCCTGCCCACAATAAAGGGGAAGGTGTTCTTTATTTTCAGCTAGCTGACAACCTTTTACTTAGCAAGTGTGCAGGTTTGGAAGGAAGTTGGGGATAAAACATTCCTCCAAAGGGGGAACCTTTGCTCTTTCCATGGTCTTTGCCACATGTGTCTTCAGGCTCTATAAGGATCTCCAATTACTGTGGAATTTTTAAAGTTTGTTCATTATCTACTTATTTATTTACTGTACTTATCACCCTGCTCTTCCCCCTAATGGAGCTCAGGCAGTCTAAGAACAATGTTTAAAACAAAAGAAATGTATTTAAAACAGTAATTAGGAGTCATCAATGAATCAACAACAATGATACAGTTGACCATAGGCCATTTTTTTTTGCAAGATGCTGCAAACCACCAAAAGCCTAGTGAAATAAAAACATTTTTAGGCTGCCATCTAAATGTCAATGTTGTGGGTGGCAATCAAATCTCAGTCCAGAAGGAATTCATAGACCAGTGGACAGGGGTACGTTATGCAAAAGATGTTCTTACTCTTTTGAAGATTCATTTTTTGCCGGAGCTGGCTTTGCCGTGAAGCAGAGGAGGCAATACACTTCAGGTGATCCTGCCCAGGCAGGGTGGAGCTGAGGAAAGAATAGAGGAAAGCAGAGAATGGTGTCTGAATGGGTCAAGTCCTTTGAAAAGTGGTGGTCCTCAACAGCGAGGGAGAACAATTTGGGTCTGATTTCAGACATCAAAATAGCTCAGGGAAGTAATCCATATTGCATTCATATTAGGGATGGAGAGAAATTTTGTTCGATTCATATTTTAAGGCAAACCTGCCTAATGTGGCCTTCCGCACATACACGAACTGAATTTGAATTTTGCAATTCATTTCTCCTGCCCAAAGGATGTGTAAAAAATATATGCAAATATTAAGGGAAGATGTGCACACACACAAAAATATATAGTTTAGTAAGAATAACAAACAAAAATTCAATATATTGGTTTTAAAAAATGCTTGCAAAAATGTGTCTATTAGGCAAAATTTGGGGAAAGTCCCACCTGTAAATTAGGAGAAATGTGCACCAAAATGCTGATGGATTTTCATCAAGACTTTTTATTATATATATTTTTAAAAATCACCAGATGTTGAGAAACTGAAAAAAATAGAAGTGTCAGTTTAAGAGAGTGACTGGGGAATGAAGCTGGAAGAATGTCAAAGAACCAGACCAATTTTTGTTCCAAATCTCTTATGAACTGAACTTAAGGTTGCACCTTATTGTGCAACAAAAATTGGGCAACCTGTTGCCCCCAAAAATCCGCTAGCACAATTGTTACCTGGTCCTCTCTTCAGCAACATTAAAACTCACCTACCCACTACTGTAAGGGCCTTTGTGCTAGTGAGCAGAGAATGCTGGACACCACCTTGTGCCATTTTTGGTATATTACCATTACCAGCTTAACAGTCCACATATCATCACTAACATCTTTCAAACCTGTTATGGACACTCTTGGGGTCACATTTCCCTGCTAAAATCCACATAGTGGCACAGCCAGAAAATGACAGCTGACACACTTCTCCGTGTCACAAGGGTCATATACAATTAAGAACTGAATAGCTAATAAAGCTCCTTTTCTCTTCTCTTGAGTTCATGTGTCACTGTCGAATATTCAGCTTGTATTTACAATGCCATATTGCTATTTAAGGATGTTTTCACACATGAGGCTTAAATTGATTTTTGTTTCAATTGATCTGTAATGCAAATGTAAAGCTTACAGTGACCAGAATGTACATTTGATTTTAAAATGGCTATTTTCTGCTTTCTTTCACACATTAACAACATTCACACATGGTACAAATAAGCAATGTGAAAGGGACTCAAAAGTGCTCTTTATGACATGTGTGAAAATGCCCTAGTAATCTGCAATGTTTCTCCAACATGAGCAGAAATCCATAATACGTGCATTTGATATAAGAGGAGTGTGCTGCTGTCGAAACCTAAGGGTAGCTCACACAATTTCCGATGTAATAATACAGTGGTACCTCGGGTTAAGTACTTAATTCGTTCCGGAGGTCCGTTCTTAACCTGAAACTGTTCTTAACCTGAAGACCACTTTAGCTAATGGGGCCCCCCGCTGCCGCCGCACCGCTGGAGCACGATTTCTGTTCTCATCCTGAAGCAAAGTTCTTAACCTGAGGTACTATTTCTGGGTTAGCGGAGTCTGTAACCTGAAGCATATGCAACCTGAAGCGTATGTAACCCGAGGTACCACTGTAATGTTCATAGAATCATAGACCTGCAAACTTGGAAGTAATCCCAAGGGCCATCTAGTCCAACCCCCTGCAATGCAGGAATCTCAGCTAAAGCATCCATGACAGATGGCCATCCAACCTCTGCTTAAAACCTCCAAGGAAGGAGAGTTCACCACTTCCCATGGGAGTCTGTTCCATTGCCGAACAACTGTTATTGTTAGAAAGTTCTTCCTGATGTTTAGTCGGAATCTCCTTTCTTGTAACTAGAATTCATTGGTTTGGGTCCTAGCCTCTGGAACAGGTGGATACAAGTTTGTTCCATCCTCCATGTGACAGCCCTTTAGATATTTGAAGATGGCTGTCATATCTCCTCTCTGGCTCTTCTTTGAAGGTGGCTAAGATCTGTGCACTTGCTTGACATCATCACTACATGCACAATATAACATATTTATTGCAGTACTGTATGCACATTCCTATGCATGCATTTCCCCTTCCCAAAGCCCACCAATTCACTTTTTAGATGGACAGATTACAAAACTCGGATGCATGCATGTACATACCAATGTAAGCACATGTTACTTTCATATTACATCACTCATCTATGTGGTAGGCACATACAACGGCCGCCACACCACTATAGATGCTTCCCCCCCAAAAAAAAAACTGGAGACCACAACAGTAGCCAGGGTGGAAAAATTAAGAGAATGCCTTACCCAAACTATTCAACACATTATCACTGGGGTTATAGTGTGGCATCTTATCAAATATTACTGTTCGAATTAAATACAGTCAGGTGTAGTCCATTTCTTTGTCCACATGACCTTGCTTTCTGCGACTGTTGACTTTACTCATTGTCTTTGATTTTCTCAGACCTGTGGTGTAAAATCACGGTCATGGATCTAAAGTGGAATAAGTAATTGCTTGATAGCTTCTTGCTAACTCTGGAAAGTGCTGTGCAGCTGCTGCTGATGTATGTTTGTGCTGGCATTGCAGAGTGGAGCCCTGGGAATAAGGAATCTGACTTCAGAGAAACAAGAGCTAGCTTCAAAGAAGGGAACAAGTCTCCCCAGCTGATAGAACTTTTACTGAAAGAAAAACAACAATGAACTAAGAAACACACCAGTAATATCTCTTGTTACTCCTCTGCAATCCTTTTCCAAACTTTATTTTCATTTATCTGATTAGACACTTCCGTCTCCACAATCTCCATTGTGATGGTTCTACCTTTTCTGTTAGTTTAGGTGCTTGATGGTAGATTACAGTGAGACCACATTACTTCAAAGCACACTTTTTAGTTATTAAAGCAAAAAATATGACTCCCATTATTATGATATGTCCTTAGAGGCTTCTACAGATTTGGAGGTACTAAATCCAAGGAAATGATTTGATGTCTATTAGTTGTATGTGTTTTTTTTACAGATTAAGAAGCTATTGCGTCCTAATAAATAGCTCACCTAGAGTTTTCACTTGTAACCTGACATATTTTATCACAGCAAATCTAGTCTTGGTCATACTTTTCGTATGGTGAATTGGTAGGTGGGCCTCCAATTGTTCCCATTTTACTTCTTTTAAAATAAAACTAACATAAAATAGTGGGGGCTGAAATAATGTGTATCTTTCCAAACTTGAACTTGGGGAAAATAAGGAAAATAAAATATTATCATAAGACTCTAGTATTACCCTGTTCAAAGCAAATAGGGAATTTTGCCACTCCAGTTATAGACAAAAGGAGCCTAGTTGGGCATCGTTGGGTATTATGACTATAAATTAGCAAATCCATTATTGTCATGTTAGTTTACACCTATTAACAATGCTAAATGGTTTATTTAATACCCATTAAGCTTTTACTTGCAACATTTTCACTTGGGTCAGCCTTTACAGAAACTGGTTGGGTTTTTTAAGGAAAATTTGAACATTATCAATCAGTTTCATTCTCCTGGCTGCAGGCAGTGCAAACTAACATGAGTATAACATTAATACACTATTCAACAAAATTCAATTTGACAAAATAATACTTGGTGCACCACTATGTTAAAGACACACCTATGCACACTTACCTGGGAGAAAGCCACATTGACCTCAGTGGTACTTACTTCCAAATAAACATGTATTTGTAATTGCTCTTTTTTAAAGTACCATTTGCAAAATAGAGACCAACAGCAAGAAAAGCCATGCCTACTTCTACATTGTCTCATGCTTGCCTCATGGGGAAACAAATAAGATGAATGGATGTCCATGCATGCAACAGGTTTTTGTATACCCAGTTTAGCAGAACCATATGTAGAAACACTGGGGGTTGCTTGATAGAAGACAGCTATTACTTAAAAGGACAGTTCTGTTTATTCAGTTGTAGTTGGTGGGAGGAAGAATAATACAAATAATATTTTTTCCCCTGAGTAAGTTGTAAAAATTGTGACTTACACAACAGCATCAGAAGAGCTTGCCATTGTTCAATGAATCACAGTGAGAGAATAAATTCATAGTTTTACCTGTATTTACATTAGGCAATGGTTCCACGAAAACAAAGAAAAGGATGCAAGTGACCTTCCTGCTAGCCATTTGCTTGGGTTCCCTGCAGATAGTCAGTGTGAGCAGGAAATTGGCAGAGCACAGTCTGAAAATAAAATTGAAGCTCCATCAGTAAAGAACAGAAAAAGGCTTTCAGCATTGATAGTGCACATAGCCAAGCTAAGCTTCTTCTTACCTTTCAAATGATCTGCCTCTACATCACAGTGTAACATTTTTATGAATGTCTTTTTCCTCAATAATATTTCAGCCTCATGTATTTATCCTCACAACTACTTTGAGAGGTATGATGTCAAGGTTCACAAGTGCTGGAAAATCTCAACCTCTGTCTCCCATGTTCCAACTGTCTTCTCCATTCACAACATACTTAGATACTTTTCACATGATTATTTAATACAGGGCACACAGAAATCCAAGAGAAGTTACCCCATAAGAGAAAGGGATGAAGGAGCCTGGTTGGCATGGCCCCTGGAAACAGATGGAGACGACAAAAGGTCAAAGGAGGTAGTGGGCCAATAGAAGGGTGGAGCCCTTGACTCTGAGAAATAAGAAAAAAGAGTTAGGCTCAATACAGGGGGAGGGAAGAAGGAAAGAGGAGAGACGGATGGTGTCAGATAATTGAGAGGAGAAGAGTGAGCAAAATCCAGCAGAGGGCTAAGGAAAGACTGGTTCTCATGGCATCAGTCTGCCAAGAGGTGCAACCTTCTGGATGCAGGGGTGGCTAAATAAAGCAGGTGCCCATAGAAAGAAGAATGCAGTGGCACCAGAGGAAGAAGCCAAGGAGCTCTGACATTGAGCTGGGCACACTGAAAGGCCACCACAATTTGCAAGCCTAAACTAAGGCCTTAGGGCTTTGTACCCAACTCTGGAGTGATGCTAAGCACCAGAAGGTGGGTGAATAAACCTCTTTTCTTGCTATGGTGTGAGGCAAGTGTGGTGCTACTTCATTCTCCTTTGATCAAACACAGAAAAGCTGCAGAGCTTTGACCATCAGGCCCCAACACATGAGGGAACACAAAAATGAATTAAGTGGAAGAATGAATTTTGTACCACACACTAAGATTGCATTTCCTTTATGTTCAGTGTCCCTTGCCAGAGAAAGAAATGTAAAGAAACAGCCATTGGCAGGAGTCAGACTTGGGTGTTTTGTTTGTTTGAAATATTTCTTAGCTGTCCTTCATCAGATTCCAGAGTACAAGAGCATGAATAAAATCTGCAAGGACCTAAAAACAAAAGGCAGCCAGATGGAGCTTCCATTCCCAGAAAATGTTTCTGCATGGTTTTCAGGCATTCTTCCTTTCCCTCCCACCCCCATGCTACAGCCCTCCTCCTTCAGAAGTTCCCCCCAATCCTTAGAAGGGGGAGAAGAGATAGGTATTGTCCCTTTCCATCTATCTTTCTCCAGCATATCTGTAGATCAAATACCCTTTTCCCCATGTACCCTACTTCCCAGAATGGTAAGTAACCAGATATAAAGGAGGACCAAACTTTTCTGCCTTTTCTCATTGCATAGAAAAAGGAATTTCAGCAGGTGTGGCTGGGCTGTACCACTTCAGACTACAGGTGACATGTTTACTCATGTAACAATCTCTTTGCAATCAGACTTCAGGGACTTTTCTTCTTCCCACAAATATTTTAAAATGTAATTCTTCCATCTGCAGTCAAAAGTGGTACAATCCATTCTGCTGTGTGTACCAACCAGGCCATAGGTCAAAAGCAAGCAGCTCAGTAGGTAATATATTTTGTTAATGGCCTTGCTCTTTTAATGTGCATCTAGCTCAAGTATTTGCAATTGTTACCAGGTAGTTTTCAGTCTTCTAAAATCCTTTCTGTTATCTGAGTATCATTTTATCTAGCTTGCTATTTGCTGGTGTCATCTGCAATAAATAATTGGCTTAATAAATGCTCACGTTTAGCCTCCATCCCTAAGAGGCAAAACATAATGTATGCATTATTTCTTTGAAATAGCAATTTGTAAGTTTTGCCAAGAAGTTATATATTTGATATAGAGGAGTTTGCAAGGCAGCAGAAGAATAAAGACCATTTTTGTAATGCAATCCTGTCTCAGTCAAGCTCTTGCAGCTAACAAATCCCCTGGCAGGAAACCTCTCAGTGGACTGTTTCCAAGTCCTCAGCCTGAACAGCAGTTACAGGCTCTTCAGAAGAGCAAGCCCAAGATGGTTCCGCACCTTTGACTTCTGACACTTCATCCTCCTGTTACCTCATGCTTAGTGAACCTCTGAAGGAATACTTGGCTGCCCTGTTTATAAACAGCCTTTGCCTTCTTCAGAAACAGCCTGGAAGGACGTATCTAGGTCACAAGCTACAAAACAGTCCCCTAATTAAGTCAAAGAGCCACATGTCACTGCTTGTACTAGTAGCTGGGTGGCAAAGATATACCCTGCATGGAGCTGGCACCCCAACCAAGGGCAGAGTGAGGTGGCTGACAGAGGCAGCCAGTGCAGGAGGGCAGAAAGCCATAGACAGGTGCTGTGTGTACACTGCTATGCAGCATATTCTGTGCCCCTTAGCTAGCATAGCCTGCTTTGAGTATAAGGCAGCAAAGGACATTGAACTAAGATTCAATTGCCAGACCAGCTTCTGTATCTAAAAAGGGCAGACATCAAAGGTGCCAACTTGAATAAAATAGGGTAGGCAGGTAAACCCTGCCCCACAAGAGGCTGTGCACACACACCATTTGAATGACAGTGCCCATCAGTTTGGGGGGTGGGTCAGATTCCTCAAATATTTTATTGAGGAGGGGCGGAAGGACTTGGCCCCTAGGAGTCCATCCTGTTCTTCACTCCGGACAGCAAAATGTCTTGTTTTAATCATCCTACTAGCGAGCCCACTAGTAAAAGATGACTCAGCTCGCCATGTCTCCCGCTGGAAGTTCAAACAGCAGAACGTCTTTCAGTGGCCCAACCCCTTCCCATACACTGTGACATGCTCTGAAACCGAAAACACCACACATGCCACACTTAAGCTTGGGGTGGGGAACCAACTCCCGGTTCCATTGGAAGACTTTTTTCAAACTTAATTGCTGTGGAGGGCTTGGTAATCATCTTGGAGAGAGGAATGGGAAGGGAGGGGAAGAGTTAGCCCAGCCCTCCCTAGTTGCAACCTCCTGGAAGATCAGCTTGGAGGAGAATGTAGCCCTAATGGGGGTGTGCATGCATGTAGACATGTGAGAATGTTGTGTGGTGCATGCTGTGTGTGTGTTGTGGCTAGGGATGGGGGAATATGTCCATTTCAATTTCTCTAAAGTTTTTGATATTTCCAGTCTTAGTCCTCCACATTTCTACATTCTACATTCTATGTGCAGCCTGTGTCTTCAATCATCACTGGCTACTAATAATGATGACTATATGCAACTTCAGGATCTGGTTGGCCACTGTGGCCTGAAGAAGCCATTCTTTTACCTAAGAGTCATGAGGTAATGCTTTAACAGTACATTCCCATGCATGTTTACTCCAGCAGAAGTAAGTTCCATTATATTCAATGGGCTTACTTCTAGGTAAATTGATAGAGGACTGCAGCCTGGAGGTCCTACATAAAAACCACAAGTGTCAGGAGACATGAATCTAGCCCCATCTTGTAAAGAGAAATGGGTTTCTGTTTACCCCAGTTTCACACATGGCAGCAGTTCCACTTTCTTATTTTCTGTGGTGAATGATTTTACCCACACGTTTATAAGCATTCTTTGCCTTATTAATCCTGCTCTCAAGACTAAAACAAATTACTGTAATTGAAATGAGTATTGTGTTTTAGTTCATTTTATTCGGTAGTCAAAAGGTGTGGTTGCCAATAGGAAATTTCATCATGTTTCTGTCATGTAGGTTGTGGTTTGGGGGCAGGAAATAGAAATAAATTCACAATTGGGAACAATAAGCTGATGCAGCTGGTAGTTTGATCAGATTGGACCCCTCAGTTCAGTTTCAGGTCAACACTGAACTCCCACAATCTCTTTTAAAATTCATTGATATATTCTAGTGAGCTATTTCCAGTACTGACCTACATTCTTGACACATCTCTGACTTCACTAGGGTTGTATAAGGTGAAAATCAATGAATAACTTGAATGCAGAATTCCACGTCTTCAGATGGTGCCTATTTAATAGCTATTTCACAGGCACAATTTTCTTACTCTGTCCACAATACAAAGTTGTGTACACAGTAGTGAACTGTGTGCATAGGGATGGGTTTTTCTGAAGATCTTGATGTCAAGCTTATTCACATAGATTTTTTCTAATTCCTGTCTTGCTCTGTAATCTCACTGAAAAGAGAGTGTTTGTCCCCCTTACCCCTGTTCTGTTTATAATACAAACAATATTTGCATATTATATGCATTATTGTATGCATTATTATACACCTATACACTCCAGGTTTCCAAAGTAACCAACAAATACAATTGTATAGAAATGCATATACTTATACAATTACACTACATAAATATAATACTGCATAGGACTTGGCTCTTATTATATAATAATAATAATAATAGGTAAATTATTATTTATTCCCTGCCCTCTGGGCAGCTTCCAACAGAATAAAAAAGCGATAAAACATCAAATATAAAAAACTTCCCTTCTAAAAGTCAGATAGTTGTTTATTTCCTTGACATCTGATGAGAGGGCATTCCACAGGGTGGGTGCCACTACCGAGAAGGCCCTCTGCCTGCATAATATATGTAATTTTTGCATATAAATTTGCATGGAACTAGTCAGGTTTTTTTAAAAAAACCTGATAATACATAAGTGGCTCAGAGATAAGTGGGGACTCAATACAGGAAGTAGTACAAAGCCAACTGGATCAGAACCACTGGATTCCATATATAATTCTAAGGTGCTTGTGTACAAAGCTTGGGACTAGGATACCTGAAAGATCACTTCACTTCTTATATACCCAACAGATCACTGGGCTCTACAGGAAAGGGCCTCCTGCAGATATCATCTCATCCTGAAGTTAGCATGGTGGCACCTGCTGTTTGGAACTCCCTCCCATTATATATCAGATACATGCCATCTTTATTGTCTTTTCCACACCTTTCTCTTCCAACAAGCCTTTTAAGTGGCAATTAAGTGGTGATTACTGTTCCAGTGCTTATGTGCATTGTTGTTGTTAACTGTTTGGGGGTGTTTCTCGATAAGCAGATCATGAATTAAACAAATAAATAAATAAAAGCATGCAAAACCGATTCCTCCTACATCCTTCAGCATGCATGACTCTGCCTTATCAGCTAGTCAGCGCTGTCAGCCTTGACAATGCCTATCACCTGCTTAAAGGAATGGAACGTGGTTAGCTGGATTCAGTTGGCCCACCTCAAACTACCCAATCAACGCCATACATATAGCCCCCTAGGCCACAACCACCTCCTATGCCACAAATTGATCTCAAGGAAAACTGGAGCTCCACAGCACTCTCCTCTTCTTTGGTTTCCATCAACCAGCATTCAGAAGCGTACTCTGCCTCTGATGGTGGAGGTAGAACATAACCACCAGGGTCCATAGCCACTTATTGCCTTCTCCTGCGTGACTTTGTCTTTAAAAGCCATCCAAGTCTGTGGCCATCACTGCCTCTTGTGGGAGCAAATTCCATTGCTTGCCTATGCACCATATGAAGAGGTACTTTCATTCAGAAGCTCTTTTGTCCTAGAAGGAGGAAGAGGAGGAATTCTGATCTCCTAAGGTCTTCCAACATTTCAGCTTCTTTTGATGCCCCCAAGTCCCAGTGTCATGAGGGAGAAAAATGTGTCCTGAAACCTAGACGCTAAGATAGATTTGAATCCTTATGTGCCTGAATGACAATAATAATTTTGAACCATAATTTTTAAAAGCAAAGTGGTAAAAAAAAGTATGAGTCAATACCTGCTGATCTTTAAGGTACCGCAAGACTCTTCCTCGCGATTGCGGCCAACATTGCCCATTGCTCTGTGGATCTACAGTCTTGAACTTAAGACATCATGTCCAGCAATACGAGGTACGCTGAAAACACTACAAAAAGACAGAGTGATATTATTCACATCAGATTGTATACATCCCGCTATCCCACATGACAAAGGCAATTCTACAGGGGAAACACATGCAAATGACTTCACACAATGCCTGCTTTCCAAGATCAATCATTACCTGTGAAATGAAGTTGGTCAATTTGAAATACTTATCAGTCCTCCCTTCCTTAAAATAGGAGACTCGCTATATATAGGATACTGAACTCTGTGAGATTTATTCAGGGAAAAAAGTAATGTTGAAAAAGAAAAGAAAAACCTGACATCAGGAGGATAGGAAAGTTAACTTGAAAATGAACTGCCTACTGCAGGTGAGTTCAAGGAACTCAAAGCAAAGCAAGAGACACTTCAAAGGATCAGTAAAAGACGAGTGTCATGAGGAAGCTGCCAAGTGGGAGCCATGAAATGATGAAAATGAATACAGATCATCTTGTATGTTAAACAATGATCAAACTTCCTTAAGCGACCCCTCATCTTTATTTATTTTTTAATATAGATATATTGAATAATAGAACACAAAGGTTCTCAAAGCACTAGACTTGCCTCTCTGGGGAGACTCACCCTGAGCTTCTCACCCTGAGCGCCAATCAACATTTACGCTTTCACTGGTCCACAACGCAGAGCATCGAATTCCTACCTCATTCATACAAGCTGTGCCCCTTCACTTGATAGCCAGTAATAGGCTTATTCATTTAGGACAAAGTGAACAAGCTTTTATCAGTTGAGGGCCAAATTCGCTCAGAGATAATCTGTTGGGAGCCACATGGCAGAGACGAGAGGGCTTCCTTTCTCCCTGCAAACTAAAGGTCTGAAATGACAGCTTGCAGAAGTCCTTTGACATCCATCCAGATGCTACACATAGCCTAGAGCTACAGATTGCTGCCCTGATTTAGGGCAATTATACTGCCCTTCATAATACATAGCTCAGATTATAGGTATGTATACAAAAAATGCATAAAGGTAAAGGAACCCTGAACGGTTAAGTCCAGTAAAAAGCAACTATGGGGTGCGGCACTCATTTCACTTCAGGCCAAGGGAGCAAGAGTTTGTCTACAGACAGCTTTTCAGGTCATGTGGCTAGCATGACTAAATCGCTTCTGATGCAACAGAACACCGTGATGGAAACCAGAGTGCATGGAAACACCATTTCCCTTCCCTGCACAGCAGTACCTATTTATGAACTTGCACTGGTGTGATTTTGAACTGCTAGGTTGGCAGAAGCTGGGGCGGAGCAACAGGAGCTGACCCATCATGAGGATTCGAACTGCTGACCTTCTGATCAGCAAGCCCATAAGGCTCAGTGGTTTAGACCACAGTGCCTGTACAGAAATGCATAGGATTGTACTGCTAGCTACAATGCTACACCAGCTCAGTACTGGGCATGATAAGCTGCTGAACATTTTCAAATGCAATACCACCTAAAACTATGGGGGGGAGGGAATCAGCATAAATCATACCTTCATGCCACTCTGATACTTCCCCCCCCCCAATCTGGAGAAATAAGTAAATCCCATTAGATTGAGGAATCTTGTCATGGAGGTACATACATTTTTACTGAATATTAACCAAATGATTGGTTTATGATTATATTCAAGGCTGAGCTGTTTACTAGGAGTATAATTGTTTAGAAACAGAACAGAAACTATGATTTACATCTCTGAAAGGTATTCTGGTCTCTGAGATTTGCCGCACTTGGCAAAGTTCACATGTCTGATAAATGACAGCCCTAGAAGTGTGGGATTTTTCTTTTAACAGTGTTATGCCTTAAAAATCTCTGACTGGGCAAGGATAATGGAATTAAGAATCTGCTTTTGTACATTCTTGGTATGAATTCCATCTGATCTGTAAGCTTTTGTTCCATTCATATTAATGATGCATGCATTCCTATCAATACTTTCTAAAACTGGTCTTAAATCTTGTGGGGTGGGATCTAAACAATATTGCACAAAACATATCATTCATAAATTTAATGCTTCCAATTTATTTATGTATCTATTAAACTTTTAGGCCACTCTTCATTACAAAATGCCATAAAACAACATAGTATGCAAAAAGAAAACTCACAAAGCAACTAAACTTATCACTCAGTGGTAAAACAATCACATATAATAGCAGCTGTTCAAAACCTCTTAAAACCTTGAATAGCCTTAATTTGATTTGCCAATTGCTAAGAACAGATGTATTTTAATCAGACAGCAGAATACCATCAATGTTGGGGCATTCCAAACCTCCAGAACGAGACAATTCCATAGCCAAGGTGTCAATGCAAAGATGACCCAGCATGCAACAGCCAGCAATGGAATAATGAGAAAACACTCACATTCACATACAGTGACCTCAACACCCTCATCAGCTGACAAAGGGAGAGGACACTGACAAATACTGTGCTGTGCAGGGGTTTATAAGATCATTTATAACAACTTTAGTTCAGCCCAATAACATTGAATTGTACCCTTCTGTAGTGTGTGGAGATTTTGAGATTATTCGGAGGCTATGGAGAGCAGGTTAGATAATTATTGGATCCAGATCATGATCCAGGCAAAAGTAAGAGTATTTTAGTCCTCTTGATTATCAGTGGGAAAGCATGACATAACTCTCTCCTATTGGAATCAGTGATACTTTAAAAGTGCCTGTCTTAAGACTGGATCACGGTACACATTATTTTATAACAGGATGTCTTACAAATCTGAGCTTCTGAGGCTGATTATATAGGCTGTTTTAATTTAGAAATTAAAACCTTTCATAAGAGTTAAAGAGATACAGAGAGGATAAGACATGGAATATAATATGCTGTGGTGGCTTATGCTTAATGCTATCCTTTCAAAGTATGCCTGATATTAAAATGCGTATAGATGCTAGGTGGGTATCACTTTCTCCTTACCCCTTTATCTGTGGCCTGATCCCCAAATTCTTACCAGGACTTGACCAAAGCATTATACCTCTCTACTTTGTTCTCTTCATCCAAAATCCAAACATCTGACTCACGTCAGTCTAACCCAGGGGTAGGCAACCTTAGGCCGGGGGACTGGATGCAGCCCAATCACCTTCTCAATCCAGCCTGCAGACAGTCCGGGAATCAGCGTGTTTTTACATGAGTAGAATGTGTCCTTTTATTTAAAATGCATCTCTGGGTTATTTGTGGGGCATAGGAATTCGTTCATTTCCCCCCCCAAAAAAAAAATATAGTCCAGCCCCCTACATGGTCTGAGGGATAGTGGACCGGCCCACAGCTGAAAGAGGTTGCTGACCCCTGGTCTAACCTGTCATTACAGAGCAAGGACAGAGACAAGCAGACACAAGTCTCACCAAACTGAACTGGTGTGTGTGTGTGTGTGTGTGTGTGTGTGTGTGTGGACAAGCTTTGCTACAATGTGCAGGCATGTGTGTGTCCCATTCCGTTAGCCATCCATTTGTATCACTGATACCCATTGTGACAGCCCCTTCTACAGCCATGTTTAGATTCAGTCAGTTAGTATTCCCAATCGTTCTTTTCCATATTTCAGAAAGCAAAGCAAAAATGTGATTGCAGGACACCATGCTGTCTTCTCAAAGAGTCACCATAATGGAATGGTTAGTGTTTAGAGTGTGTGTGGGTTAGGGTTAAGGTGTAGTCCTTAGAAAGTTCAAATTTCCACCCAGCTCACTGGGTGATCTTGGTTCTTATTTTGTAGCCAAAACAGCACCACCATCTGTACACAAGAGAGAGGTGTTAGCAGGCTTGAGGGAACCCAAAGTCTTGCTTAAGTCCACACAAAAAAAGAACTTTGGGGGGGTCTAAAAACAACCCAAAGAGGACTGAACTTGCTCAGTAGCTAAGTGTTGTGGGGTGCAGAGGAAGTAGGATAGGGGAAGAGGAATGGAATGGAGTGTCCTTAAAGAGGATCTGGCTGGAGATCTGGCTGGCTGGTACTTAGTAGGAACACACACTGTAGCATTTTGTTGCAGGTGCACTTGTCACTTTCAGTTTCTATAAAAATGATTGTCTCCAGCCAAATCCAGCCCCTCCATTAAGATTGCAATGGTTAAAGCATTCCAAGGGCAGAGTTACAAAAACTTTGCAATAGCATCATTCACCAAGGGTGCTTAATTGCAAAAAGCACCTCTTGTTAGGTTTCATTTCTAAACATTGTGCCACTTTTCCTTCTTTGCTCTGCAATGGCTCACTTGCTCACATGTCTCTCCATCTCGGAGAGCCAAAACAATATTGCCTGATGTTGTGCTCTCACTTATCTGAATGGTGTTGTGACTCATCTAGATGGTGTATATCCATCACATTTTCTGGTTGTCATGAAATTTACACTGACCTGAAAATAAGGAGTGCCCATGGTACATTGAAATTCCAAGAGAAATTTCCCTCAAACTACTAGACATCTACCAAATCCATTCCCTCATTGAAGTGACTTCCTATTGACCAAGTGATGAAGTTTCCTTAGGAAGGGTTTCTATCAGCTACCCCATGTTGGCCCAATTTGGGCTAATTCAGACTATGTGAAATTACAGCAGTAATTCAGATTTGCAGTGTTTTAAAATCATATTTGAAATGTGCCTTGTGCATTAATTCTTATGCTTTTTTTTTCACCATATGGTTCATATTAAATAGTCTGATGAAACTGTACAATAAATAGACAGACTGACAATGGCCAATTAGTAATCTGTTCTTAAATCTTGTGGTTTTTTCCAGTGTCAGCGTTGTCATTCAGGGATATTCTTCACATATTCCTACAAAAGTCACTAGTTATTTTTTGATTCCATTGTTTCAGGATTTTTTTGTTTCCAAAACAAGAAATGGGCTACTATTTCCCCATATCAGTGCTGATAATTTCCACTGAAGTCTATGGGAGTTCCATGTATGGACAGAAGGTATATTACTCTTCAAATAATTTCAGCAAAGTCAAATACTTAAAAGCTATTTCATCACATCAGCTTCCGCCTTGGAATAGCAGGCAGGAATTACATTGCTGCCCTGTTAAAATGTTAGCAACCACATTTCATTTTTTGAAAAGGCAATTTATTTGTCCTGAAATAAAGAGTTGATTATATCTCTTATTACTGTTACAAGAACTTGATATATCACAGAGAGGAAGAGTTACAACATGTACCAACTATCAACCAGGAAAAATGAATCTGATTCATAATTCACTCTGAGAATGTCTAGTTAGTCAATCAAGTGATTTGTAATCATAAAGGCTGCCAGGAATTGAATGAATAACGGGCCACACTAAAATCCTTGGATTTCGTAGTATTCTTATTTCATTATGCGACTTTTATTGCTCTTGCTGGTAGTTGTCTCTACTTCAGTAGAACAAATTAAACACCCCACAGTTATTTGCATGAATCTATTCGGCTATTTAATGCGCATACAAAGAGAGAGTGACCACTGGAGTAACAGACAAAGCTAGATTTCTTTTCTTCATGAAAGCTGAACCTTTTTATGATGTAAAGCTTGTGGAGAAAGAGTCTATGCTCCCATCCCCATTTCCTCCTGAAAGCATTTTGGGGGTAATGAATCTTAGCATACTGTTACAGTACATTTTCTCAAGTTATTTTATAACTATAGAAATGACATAATTCATATAGCATGCCATCTGTTTAACAGCAGCATCCCTTCCCCTGCCTCTTAATCTTTACAGATTATCAACCTATTAACATGTTAGCACTAAATAACATGTGATCGCCAAATGTAGATTTCTGCAAAAACTGCGATCCAGCTAAAGATATGGAAACAGAAAAACTAAGCTACATTTGACACATGTCTCCCTAAATAACATTTTGCATTCATTTGATTTCTTTTCATATAAGAATAAAATAAAACAGACTCCTGCCACTACACAGGAAGACCTTCACAGAAATTTATTTATTACGTAATAAATTTTTAGACATGCTGTTTGCCATGCTCAGTAGCATCCAGACTCCCCCCCCCCCTGTTTTACATTTACTGTACAATACTTTCATAATGACTTAGGTATGCTGGTGTTTGAACCAAACATAACTGATCCAAATATAATCAGATATGGTTAAGGTAGATTGGCCCCCTATAACATTTTTACACTCCCTGCAATGGATGTTGCGAGTCTGAAGTCTTTTTCTCCTTGCCTTGCCTTTTTTTAAAAAAAAGCTTTTAAAAGGACATGACTGACATATTCAATGATATATTTTTACAGTGGCATTGCTGTTCTTTTAGACAGGAGGACCGTAAAGTCTGCCGTTGCTTTATCAGCCTTCTTTCAGCAATCCTTGTGTGTGAAACAAACTTCCTATTAAAACTAATTGTAAATTCCCATAAAATTTATCCAAAATATGATGGTTAACTTCCTCCTGCAATGAAATGCTACCAGCTCCAGAACTTGTATGTGAAATGTGGCACTAATAATGCACCAATGTGAGATCACATTTCAGCGCAGAACAAGAATTCTCTCTCCAGAGAGATATAATGAGGGGGATATTTAGAATGTACAGTTAATTTAATTTAAAATATATATTTAG